TTCTTATTTTTTGAGACAAGGTCTCACTAAGTTGCCCAGGGTGGCCTCAAACTTGTGATCCTCCTGCCTCAACCTCCCAAGTTGCTGGGATTACAGGCATGGGCCTCTTTGCCCACATTAATTACTTAAGCTTTTTTTTGGCGCCTCCTTAAATTCTGTGCCAGAAGTCGATGTGCCAAGTGCCAAAGGTCAATGCCTCATCTCACCAAGAGATTACATTCCAGCAACCCAGTGTTCCCCTTCAACCTGGGCAAACCTTCTCCGCTTCCTGGAAGGCTTTTCTGCCTGGTGCCTCGCACTTGTTCTGATTCCCTGGTGAACCAACCCTCTAGAAGCTCAGTGGCAGGAGCGCACTCCGGGAGGGGCGGAGCTGTCGCGTGCGCATAGCTCAGACTCCACTTCCCGGCGCCCGCGCGTCACTTGTGTGTGATGTGACCTGCTCAGTGCAGCTGGGAGGATCCCTAACTGACGTGGCCTAATGTGGTGCCCAGGGATCTACAATTTTTCCCTCGAGGAAAGATGGCTCCTAGTTCTCCCTCTTCTTGTTAGGGGTTGGAACAGGGCGGGTCTTAGGCAGCTCTTCGCGGTGGTGGTGCACGGACTGCCCTGAACACTTCGTCCAACTTGGGAATCCAGTGGGAAAGGAGGGGAAAGTTCTTGGGGGAAAAGAGATGAAAGCAAGGCGGCCGGAAATGGAGCTCCCCTGCCTGGGGCTAACTGAGGATGCTCAGGACTCTCTGTGGGGCTGTGGGGACCTCCACAAGGTTGGCCTTAAGGCGCCCCAGTCAACCTCCCGCTCCCAGGGCCCTTTGTGGCGACTCCCTTCCCAGTAAACCCAAGAAGTCTGCCGCCAAGGGTCCTTCGCCTCGTTCTCTCCCCTCTTGGCACTGCTAGGGTGCGGAGCTAGGGTCCGATCCTCTCAGGAGAGAGAGGATGACTAGCTCCCGCTTGACTGCAACTCCAGGAGGCAGGCAGCCATGGGTAAGAGTGAAGGGCAGCCGCCTGGGCTTGATGCCTGCTACCTGAAGAAAGGGGGCATTTGTGAACACGTGCCTTTGCCAAGGCCCCAAGTCCTACCACAAGAACGTTTAGAATCTGCGCAAACACATTGGAGTGTTTCAGCTTACCATCTACATGCTCTTCCTGGAGCCCAGTTATCCCATGATCTTGTCCGTTCCCCACTGTAACATATCCTAAATGGTAACCTGCTGCAACGCACCCCGACCTGGCCTTGGAATCACGACCTCCTACTACTGGCCCAAGTCCTTCATGGGATTCAGCCCTTAGCCCCACCACTGCCAGCCCCTGCATATATAGAGGCCTAGACCCCCACTTTCTGACAGGCGTAGCTTTTTCTCAAAACTTCCACCACATCATTGTGACCAAAAGTTTGTTACCTATGGTAAGGTTAAGTTTTGCCAAATGTGGCATTTATACACAATGGAGTATTACTCAGCACTAAAAAAAATGACAAAATCATGGCATTTTCAGGGAAATGGATGGCATTAGAGCAGATTATGCTAAGCGAAGCTAGCCAATCCCTAAAAAACAAATGTCAAATGTTTTCTTTGATGTAAGGAGAGAGACTAAGAACAGAGCAGGGAGGAAGAGCATGAGAAAAAGATTAAACAGGGACGAGAGGTGGGAGGGGAAAGGGAGAGAGAAGGGGTATTGCACAGAAGATGGAAGGAGACCCTCATTGTTATACAAAATTACATATAAGAGGATGTGAGGGGAAAGGGGAAAAAACAAAACAAGGGAGAGAAATGAATTACAGTAGATGGGGTAGAGAGAGAAGATGGGAGGGGAGGGGGGATAGTAGAGGTTAGGAAAGATAGCAGAATACAACAGTCACTAGTATGGCAATATGTAAAAACGTGGATGTGTAACTGATGTGATTCTGCAATCTGTATACAGGGTAAAAATGGGAGTTCATAACCCACTTGAATCAAATGTATGAAATATGATATGTCAAGAGCTTTGTAATGTTTTGAACAACCAATAATAAAAAATAAATAAATTTAATTTAATTTAATAAAAAGTTTTGCCATTATCTTACGGTTGAGTCCAGCCTTAATATCCTGGACCAATCCATTTTGCATGATACCATTTATATGAAATTCAACAATAGGCGAAACTAAATTTACCCTGACGTAAAAGAAGAATAAGCTGTGGAGGTAACTGAGGATGAGCTTAGCCTTTTAACTCAAAATTTCTCAACCTTGGCAATTACTCCTGGTGCATCCTGGGTAAAATAATTTTTTAAAGGTCCTGGGTAAAAATTCTAACGGGCACCCAGGGTTGAGAAGCACTGCTTTAAACTTGGTCTGGAAGCAGCCTTAACATCCCAATGTACTGCTCAAATTGTAACATATTCTTTGTGTTCCCTGTAGGGAAAACAGGAAGCACTAACCTAACAATAACAAACATGTCTGATAACCTGTACAAGATAATTGAGAGAGGAAACAAACCAAAAAAGACCAACTTGAAAACTTGATAATCTAGGAACGAATGGGATAAATAAAGCCTGGTCTAGACTAGTGACAGTGAATATAGGAAGGGACAGCTATAATAATACAGAAAGAATGACAAGTTGTGATGGTTAACTAGATCAAAAATTTTGGCAGACAGTGGCACTGTAATTGTCACGAAGATTAATGTCACTATCATGTCCCTGCTGGTTTCCACAGGAGAGTTGCCAGGATTACTTTGGTCTTCCTAGGGGCTCTCAAAACCATGAAATGGGTCATGGTCATTGTGGCTAGATCAGTCTTGGATACTAGCAAACAGACCGGCAGTTCTTACTATTTTATAAAAGTTTCTGCTTTATGGAAGCCAGAGTCCCTTTCTCATATGGGGCGGCAGCTACACTCCTGGGAATAATTTCTACACAAAAGATTCAACAAGAGAAAAAATGACCTCTTCGAAGTGCCATGAAGATACTAATGACAGCATTCTCTGTGCTAATGATGTATTCCCACAATAATGGAAATGAATAAAATACAATACTCATGTTTGTTGCAGCACAATTCACAATCTCTAAATTATGGAATAAACCTGTGAATGGATAAAGAAAATGTGGCGTATGTATCCATAATGGAGTTTTTCTCAGCCATAAAGAATGAAATTATTACAGAATTATATGTATAAATATGAAAAATACAATAATCAGAAAATGTTCATAAGTTAAAAAAAAAGAAAGAAAGTACACATCATTTTGGAGAGTTATGAAGTTTAATCAATGTGGAAACTCTTAGGACAGTACCTGGCACATAAGTACTTTATAAGTATTAGTGTTTTAAAATGTTGGTTTTATTTATAACTTAATAAAATCTTTCAAAATAATTGATTAGTCAGCACTGATACTCCTGTCCACTATATATCTCAGAAAAGTTTACCACATCTTTGCTCACAGCTTTAATGAAATATAAATTTCATATAAAGGGCACCCATTTTGAGTGTATGATTTCATCATTTTGATGAGTGTATATATTTGTGTAACCACCATCTCAACTCCTCAAAAGAACCATCAAAGTTCTTTTCTGCAGTCCGCTGCTCCCTCCAGACCCAGCTCTTAGATAACAACCATTGGTCCTGCTTTCTGCCTCTATAAATTTAGTTTTGTCAAATTTCATACAAATGGAATCATAAAAAATGGAACACATTATATACTAGAAATCTGATAACCCCAGTTGATACATTAAAATAAATCCTACAATCAAGAAGCATTGATTCCCAGTTCTCAGGAGGCTAGCCTCAGTGATTTAGTGAGGCCCTAGTAACTTAGCGAGACCCTGTCTCAAAATAAAAATTAAAAAGGGCCCGGAGATCAGGGCTGGGGATATAGCTCATTTGGTAGAGTGTTTGCCTTGCATGCACAAGGCCCTGGGTTCAATCCCCAGCACCAAAAAAAGGGGGTAGTGGGAATGTATCTCAGTGGTTAAGCACCCCTGGGTTCAGTTCTCAGTACCAAAAAAAAAAAAAAAGCCACATTGATTATATGATTCTGAAAGCAAAGCCTCCTTTGCAGCAGCTTTTTTGTTTTGTTGCTTTGGGGTTTTATTGTTGTTTGGAGAGGGCTACTAAGGATTGAACCCAGGGGTGCTTTGGTGCTACAGCACTTTTAATTTTTTATTTTGAGATAGAATCTTGCTAAGTTGCTGAGAGTTATGCTAAATTGCTGAGGCTGTCCTCCAACTTGCTATTATCTTGCCTCAGTCTCCCAAATTGCTGAGATTACAGGCATGTACCACCATGCTCAAATCCTTTGCAGATTTATAATAAAACTGCCTTATATAGTTTACTTTCCCTCTCTGAAGAGAATTATGGTGCGGGAATCTGAAATCTCTATTTTTTTCCACAGGAATTGGGAACAACAATGAGGACAAGCTTATTCATGAGGAAGGACACTGTGATGGAGAATATCAAGGGATATGCCCAAGAACAGTGTTACCTATTTTGGGACTCAGTCTCAAGAAACACATTCAGAATCTTAAATTAGGAAAATCTCAAGGCAACTGCTTGGTGCCATAGACTGCCAAAACTTTTGGGGCTGGGTACTACTCCCAGACTGTGAACTCACTGGCCACAGGAAACCTATGCCTGGTGAGAAATGTTACAGCTGCACTGATTGTAGCAAGAGTTTCCTGAACTCTTAACCCATCATCTTAACCCATGGGTTACTCTCTAACCCATCATCTTCAAAGTCATGTTTGTGAGAAGGCTTAATCCTGTTCCAACTGTGGAAAACATTTCAGCCAACATTCCAACCTGTTCCAGCATCAGCGGATTCACTAGAGAGATAAGCCCTACAAGTGCAGGTCCTATGAGAAAGATTTTGCTTAGACTGCATCCTTCATCCAGCACAGAAGGGTCCACACTGGCAAAAGGCCCTACCACTGTCCCTAGTATAGTAAGACTTTCAGTGAAGCTCCAAACTCATTAAGCACCAGAAAATCCACTCTGGAGAGAAACCTTATATCTGTGGGGAACATGACAAGGGCTTTATGGGCAGCTCTCTGCTGCTGGCTCAACAGGGAATGCATACTGGGTTGAAGTCCTATGTCTGTCCCCAGTTGAAGCTGATATGCCACCAGAGTCCATATAAGTCATGTATTTTCTGCTGCTGCATCTGGGGAGACAGCTTTAGTCAGAAGACCTCCCTTACTCAGCATATCTGCCTGCATACAGGGGAGAAGCCTTTTAAGTGTGGGGAGTGAGGGGAGAGCTTCAGCCTCCATACCAAGCTCAACTACCATATTGCTTGGCACCAGCCTCAGGCACCCCCAGCCCAGGGCTCCAGCCACACCAGTCCTCCCCTTGCTCCAGCCCAGCAGAAGTTCAGGTCCTTCTATTTCCATCTCTTCCTATTCATACCCCTACTGCAACCTCCCTTTATCCTGCCCCCTCAAACACACTGACTGATTCTGCCGCCTACCCTACTCAGTCTCCAACCTCTGATCAGATCCATTTTCCTCAGATTCCTTACCTCACCCCATCCTTACACCTTCACTTATGTACCCATTTCCACTGCCCGGTATACATCAGATTTCCCCCATTCCTCCTCTACTCTCCTTTCCCAGTGCTGCATCTACCCCAAGGACACATGCAGAATCCAGATTCCAAGTTTATTCCTGTGGTGAACCAGAAGCAATGGCTGCCAAGTTTACCTGTTCTCAGTGTGGGAAGAGTTTCCCAGGCAATGCACCCATACAGATAAGCAGCCTTACATCTACTCTGAGTGTGGGAAGCGCTTTACCCAGAGTTCCTTCCTAATGCATCACAGAAAGATGCACTTTAGCCGAAAAACCACATCTTTGTGTGGAGTGTGGCTGGAGCTTCAATTCAGCAGTGTTCTCCTGATCAACCACAGGAGCATGCATTCAGGGGAATGGCCTTTTACCTGCCCCAGGTGCCAAGAGTGCTTCCAGGAGGCCTAGAAGTTGACCATGCACCATCAGACTACCCACCTAGCTACTCAGGAGGCTGGGGGTGATGAGACCCAGAAGCTATACAAGTGTGAAACTTGTGGGAAGAGGTTAGGCAACAGGCTACTCTGAATCAAAACTAGAGGACTCAATGCAGACTAATCCTATCCATTCTAACAACTGTGGGTGTGGCTTTAGAGCGCCAAACTCCACCACCATGGAACACACACTGGAGAGAAGCCCTACCAGTGCCTCCAGTGTGGGAAGACTTCCAACCAACCATCTAACCTTGCCAGACACCAAAGAACCCATGCAGTGCAGGTCTGAGTGAGACCTTGTATAGCCTCTCAGGTACACCTGTGGAACAGGCATACATTTCCTTTCCTCCACCCATACTAGATTCTAAAGGATTTTCTTTTACATATCAGTTGTCCTCAGAAATGCTGGGGGTTTTGTATATTGGTGAGTTTTTTTTTCTTGTCATTGTTTTTGGGGTTCTCCCCCCTTTGAATTCTTTGCTCTCCTTTTTCTTAAATCTCACAGTCTATAGAGTAAAGGAATTAGGCAGATGGTAGACAAAGGTATATTATTGAAATATGTTCTTGGTATGGACATGAGCAATATAAAGTGATGTATTAATAATAATGGCTAATAGTAAATTATTTCTCTTATACCTTTCTTTTGGGGGGGGGGGGCGGTAAGAGCAGATTGAACCTAGAGGCACTGAGCTAAATCCCCAGCTCTTTTTATTTTTTCGAGACAAGGTCTCTGCTAAATTGCTGAGGCTGGTCTTGAACTCGTGCTCTTCTTGCCTCAGTCTCCCAAGCCACAGGGATTACAGCCACTGCATTACAGCTTCCTTTTGCCTAATTTCTCTGGCTAAAATTTCAAGTACTGTATTGAATAGAGTGCTGAGAGTAGACATCCTGTCTTGTTCCTGACTTCAGAGGAAATTCTTCCTTTAGTTTTTTTTCATTTGGTATGATGTTGGCTTTTGAGTTTGTTATATATAGACTTTGTTATGTTTAGGCAAGTTCCTTCCTACTTTCTTCAGATTTTTTTTACATCATAAAAGGGTGTTGAATTTTGTCAAAAGCTTTTTCTGTATATATTAAGATGATCATGTTACTTTTGTCCTTGATTCTACATATGTGATGATTCACATTTATTGATTTGCATATGTTGAACCGTCTTTGCATCCCTGGAATTAAACCAACTTGATCATGACATATGATCTTTTTAATGTATTGTTGAATTCAGTTTGAAAGTATTAAGGATTTTTGCATCTATGTTCATCAGTAATTTTCTTTCCTTGATGTATCATCATCCAGTTCTAGAGTCATCATGATACTGGTTTCATAGAATGAGTTTGGAAGTGCTCCTTCCCCTTCTACAACATGGAATAATTTGAGGAGCATTGGTATTAGTTCATTTTTTAAAGGTCTTGTAAAAGGTATCTACAAATCCATCTGGTCCTGAGATCTTCTTTGTCAGCAGATTTTATTTTTAAAAAATATTTTTGTTTTAGTTGTAGTTGGACACAATACCTTTAATCTTATTTATTTACTTTTGTGTGGTGTTGAGGATCGAATCCAGCGCCTCACATGTACTAGGCGAGTGCTCTACCACTGAGCCACAACCCCAGCCTCTGTCAGGAGACTTTATTATTGTTTTAATTTCACTGCCTGTTATTGGCTTGTTTAGGTTTTTGGTAGGTCATAGAATTTTATCCATTTCTTCTGTATTTTTCCAATTTATTAGAATTTAAATTTTCAAAATAGTTCCTAATGATCCTCTGGATTTCAGTTGTGTCTGTTGTATTTGTCTCTAATTATATTAATTAGGGTCTTCTCTCTCTTTTGCTTAGTTTGACCACAGGTTTATCAACCTTGGTTTTTATCTTACCTTTTCAAAGAACCAACTCTTTGTTTCATTGGTCCTTAGTGTTGTTCTTTTATACTCTAATTAATTTACCAGGTGGTCAAGTTTGTAAGGATTCTGGCTGTGGATATGTACAAGGCAGCATTCCTCTGGTGAGAAAACTCCTGGAGGGTAACAGGGGCTCTGTTATCTACATTTGGATATTCTACAGTTTCTCCCTGGAACTAGTAAGATGACTAATACATGCTCAGTGCCTAGCTGCTATGGTAATGTCCTTTGGGAGGAGGCTCTGTACTAGAGTCTTATCAGTCTCAACCTTAATCTCAAACACTCAGCTTCTGGGAATAAAGGAACTCTCTTAGACAACACCAATGTGTCACTGCACCTAAATCTGCCCACAGAACAGTAACTTTATACAATGAGCAATATGTACTAATGACATCAATGATCTAATGAAACCTATGGATATAGATAAAGCTGGCAGCTCAGATGAACAGCCCTTTTTATTTTGCCCCTGTTCCTTGCTTGCTTCTCTGTCTCTCTTTTTGTTTTTCTTTACACAAATTTTTATGCTAAGACACAGGTTTCTTTTATCATTATTGTCCTCCTATGATACAAAGTGAACCTACTTAAAAGGTTAACTAAGGTGATCATGAAGGTGATGATACCCAATCTATGTCTTCCTGGTTACCCTGCCTGTCATTCAATGATTCTATGGTTATTCTACAGTGATAATAGAGAAAAGCAACTAAAAACAATGTTCTTTACTTGGGTCAGGTGCATTTCATCCACCAACTTGGAGTAATGAGATTACCACAAATTGCCAGATGGTCACATCAAATTTTTAGCAGCATCAGTGATAATAGAAAAAGGCCTTCAAAATATCTCTTTAATAATCAGCACTTGCTAATGCTGGTTTAGAAAATATCTGAGATTAATAAGCCATGATCTCAGGGCCCCTTTTATAATGTCTGGTCTAACGCACACAGCACATAGGATGTGAGACAAAAGTCTCACATGGAAATAGCCACTTCAACCTCTGTCCCATGGTTAATTCTAGTTCTGGCTTGAGTTCTACCAGTCATGAAATCAACTGAGCACAAGTGTGTAAATGTAGCCAGCTCAGCCAAAACCCTGGGTCCTCAGCATTAGATATAGATTTGAGGGAAACCAGGTTGTAGCATGTGAATTTATTTTGTAATGTAACATTATACTATTATGAAATGGAAAAAATAAAAGTATAAAGCCTCAACCATTACATATTTTGCAATTTGGGCTATCTCCCAATGTGTGATTTGTTTGACTAACTTTATTTTAATGAATATTAAATTCCCTCAAGTGCCCATTACATTTAATTCATTAAAGTCATACATACCCCAGAACATTTATCTATCTCCAAAAGAAGGCAAAAAATCCTCAATAAAACATGGATCACAGTACAGGGAACAAATTAGAAATTTGCTGATAAAAGTTTAGAGATATGCTGTAGTTTCACAGACTTTAGCAATAAACTAAGACTTAAAACCTCAACTCAAATTTATTTATTTTTGTGGTACTGGGGATGGAACCCAAGAGTGCTCTATCACTGAGCTACATCCCCAGCCCTTTTAAAATTTTATTTTTTTAAAAAATGTTTTTAGTTATAGATGGACACAATACCTTTACTTTATTTGTTTATTTTTCTTCATGTGTGTGGTGAGGATCAAACCCAGTGCCTCACTTGTGTTAGGCGAGTGCTCTACCACTGAGCCACAACCCCAGCCCTTAAATTTTATTTCGAGACAGGGTCTTGCTAAGTTGTCCAGGCTGGCCTCAAAATTGTAGTTCTCCTGCTTTAACCTCCTGAGTTGCTGGGATTACAGGCAGGCACTCCCATGCCTGACCCCATCTCAAACTGAGTTTTAAAAATGGAAGATTTGTTATTTTACATAACTGAAAATTCAGGGTACAGAAGTTTATCAATTCTGGCACATCTTTATTTAGGACCCAAAAAACAAGGCAAAATCTTTCCCCATCTTTTGGTCTGCTATTAAAAATGGTCTCAATATTGGCTTCAGTCTACTGCTCAAGTCTGAGGTTCCAGCAGCTCCATGTCTCAATAGTATAAGAAAGAAGTCCCAAAATTCATGACCCATAGACTTCAGTTCCTCCCTAAACCAATCACTCATAACCAAGAGAACAAAATGTTCTAATTGCCTAGGCCTGGATCATATGTCCCCTCATAGAGCTTGAGAAGGAAGTCAACCACAAATGGACTGTGAACTTGAAATAAAAGGTAGTAGTTTCACAAAGAGACTCTTTGGTACTATTATCAGAAGAAGAAGACATGGATATGTTAAATACAATAAATAAGAGTCCATTGGCCTGAGACTATTCCATTCTACCCAACAAACTACAATTGAATTTAATACGAAAACTACCAAAATCTAAATTGGGAGTGTTGTTGTTATTTGTAACAGCAAAATCTCAGCCCTCCATAAGCAACCCAAATCCAGTCAATCACAGGCAACCAACTGTCAGGCAATGTTGAATAAAGGCAAATGCCTAACTATAACCAGTTAAGTTGTTTCTGTACTTCACTTTGCTATTCAGCCAATGAAAGCTCAAGGCCTACACTGCACAGGAGAGCTCTCAACACCTTTCAGTTTAGAGTGCTGCCCTATTCATGAATCATTCTTTGTTCAAATAAACTCTGTTATGTTTAATTTGTTTAAAGTTTTTCTTTTACAGATATATTGAGCACATGATACAAAATAATAGATGTCCATTATAACATGATTATAGGCCCTCCCTATGGTAGAGGGAGCTAACAACCCCTCTTGAGGCCTGTAATGTTTACAGCCCAGTTGTGCTAGGGTAGTGGGGTAGGTTGCTGAGAGACCAAAGAAGACACCTAAAGATGGGATGTGAGATATAAGGTTTACTAAGAAACACTTATGGGGAAGATCCAGTGGCAACAGTCTAGGTGCCTGGCCAGAAAGCTCAATGGCAATGGGGTGGACAGATGCTTCCATTTCACAAGGTGCCTCCAGTGCTTCACCATAAAATAGTGCCTCTGACCCCCTTCGACACTTTGTAAAGTGAGGGCCAGCACTCCTTCTCCACAACGCTCTGATACCACAAGAAGAGGGGTTGTATATATTATGCTACAGACATAGTGACATCATCAATTTAGCTTGCTTTTACCTGTGACCAGCATCCCAAGGAACTTGTTGTGAATACAAAAAAGCCACTTTGTACTGATAACACTAACTTGCCCTAATTTCCAGCATAAGAGAGAAAGCCAGTGTCCCTCAGGATAATTTATATCTGGATATTTGAGCCTAGACTCACTCTCATTGTTCCCTTAACCTGGCTAGGTTTTGGGGTATGGGGAGGGTCCCTTCAGGGACATAGTATTTTTATTGTCCTTTTCTTCAAAGATGACACAAGACCCTATCATTCTATTGTCATTATTGATTCTGTCTTGTTTCCAACTCTCTTTACTGTTCATCCTAGTTAACCCATGTTCTGTGTCATCATATAATTGTTTTTGTGGGACATTTCCAATTTCGAGTATTCCATTCTAGGACACCACACACAAAATTTATATTTAATAGATCATATGTTGTGGTTGATCTTGGCTTTGGAAAATCTAGTCATAGTATGAGTTGTCCCCAGGAAGAGGCATAAAAGAAACTGACAGAGTTGTCCCTCTGCCTTCACCACCAGTAGCTGAAGTATGTCTCACAAAGGATGGGAATGCTACTCACTGGGGTCTATTTAAAAACTGGAAAGTTTGTTCTTCCCTCTACCTAAAATAAAGAACAAATGAAACCTCTAGAACTTGGAAGCTTTGGCAGAAAACCAATTAATTTATGTGAGAGCGAACTTAAGAAATAATGGTGGGTACAAAGACTGCTGCCTAGAAAAGCTCAAACTACCTAAGTACAAGTCTTTGGGTACTTGGTCAAATGCACCACACGATGGCGACAGCAGCAGAGGAAAGTAGCAGCCCTTGGGGCATTAACCAAAGGGGTTGGAATTTCCAGTGAAGTGTTTGGTAACCATCAGCAAACAAACCTGAGGGGCTATTCAGGGAAGAAAGAGAACCTTCAAGCCTCCCCATTAAACACACCCCCTTGTCATTTCTGTTTCTTCAGGAGCTACAGTTGGCATATCTGAAGAGAAGGGATTTGATGGATTGTGAATAGAGGGAGATGCCAGGGAAATTTAAAGTCCCATCTCCACAGCTACTCCAAAGTCACTGGGAAAAGGCAACTGAAAGAATTCTATAGATCAGTGAGAGCTCAGGAATAATTTAGCCACGGTATGTAACATTTGACCATTCAACAAGATTGAAGAAGAGAAGGGGTGGAGGGAGGGAGGACAAGAAGGAAGAAGGTGGTTCAGCTTAGAACCAACAGGAGGTACAGTTATAGAGCCCCTTCTTGAAATTGTACCTTCTTCATTTTTCTTAAATTCATATTCAGCATATCAGCTTTTGATAAATGTTGGAGGCATCCTGTTAAATTCTGAAAAGACATTTCTATAGGGTTAACCAAAAGAAGAAGGTTTAAACATTCATTAAATACATATTTTTAGAACATCTACTTCATGCCAGGTTCCATGCTGGGTGCTGAGGATATGACAGTGAACAAAGCAGATGTCATCCCTGCCTGGTCCGGTAGCTTTCTGGTGACCTGCCTTGATACAAGCTGCGTGCAGGCCTGCCTATGCTTTCTTTTTTCTCTCCAAAAAAGTCAGAGTGAAATAACGCACTTTGCAGAAGACATTTGTTAGATTTGTGGCTACCCAGAATTTTCTGAATAATTTTCCCATTTTTGAGGATTTTCCCCACAGTATAATTCCTGCCTGCCTAAGACAGAAGCCAGGACTCACCTTCCCAGACTTTCTTGCAACTAGATCACAAGCAAAATGACCAGGTATTGCCAATTGGTGCACCCACAGGATTTATTGATTAAAAAGAGAGCAACCTCTGGAAACAAACTTCACAAGGAAACCATTTTCAAAACAGGGTGAGGATGGACAAATTTAGCTTCCCAAGGCTGTGTAAATGGAAGTTTTTGGCATCCAGGGTTCAGCAGTGGCCTTCAAAACGGTTCATTTCTCACTGTGCAGATTGAGGCCTCTCTGGCTGTACCAGAAATACCCTGAGCTAAGATTGTCAGCTGCTTATCTTTCAAAACTAGTTAAGAGTTCTGTTCCTTGCAAGGAACTGTGATTAAAACATATATTAAATGACTGTTTTGTGTCAGACTTTAAACTGGCACACTTCTATTTTACTTAAACTTCATTAGAAAAAATAATTTAAGTACAAATTATAGATTTTACAGTTGGAAAAAAGGATTCAAAAAGACCCTTGATCTATTCTACAAATACTTATTAAAGGCCTACTGTGTGCCAGCCACTGGGAATATGGAATAAATTAGTTCTCCGCAACTATTTTAAAAGCAGCATATTGTACTTTACATGTCCCCTTGTCAAAATAAAAGACACAGTAAACCCACCGCCTGGAGAGGATCTCCTTCCAGTCAGGCCCCACTTTAAATATAGAAGACCCCTAAAAATAGCCACCCAAGTTCGGACTCAACAGGTGATTGGCTCAAAAAAGGGGAGGAGAGCGTAAGCCTCAGTGAAGGAGAGTGGAAGGACAGTGCCATTCCCAGCTTCTCTTGCCACAATGGCTCTGCCTCTGAGGTCCTTGAGTAGGGGTTTGGCCAGCACAGCCAAGGGAGACCACGGAGGGGCAGGAGGTGAGTGGAGCCAGCGTGCCTGACCCTCTTGCTTACTGGTTTTGCCCACCTGGTTCCTATACACACACACACACGCGCGCGCACGCACGCTACTCACACCCCCCTAGCCTCCGGGCAACCCCCTACTCCGGCTAAGCGACCCCAGACCTTCCAAGGGCCTCCGCCCAGAGGCCTTGACCTTCTCTCTCACCCTCGCCTTTCCTCTCACCCAGCCGGCACCTGGCGCCTCCTGACCTTCGTGCTGGCGCTCCCCAGTGTGGCTCTGTGCACCGTCAACTGCTGGCTGCACGCAGGCCACCGCGAGCGCCCAGAGTTCATCCCCTACCACCACCTCCGCATTCGCACCAAGGTATGCGGGACCCAGAGGGCGGGCAAAGGGGGTGCGGGGACCCCCCCCCCCCCCCGCGCGCCTGGCCGGGGCCGCTCTGCCACTCTCTGTCCCTTCTCGGCTCTCTCTACAGCCCTTCGCCTGGGGGGACGGCAACCACACTCTTTTCCACAATCCCCACTTCAACCCTCTGCCCACGGGCTACGAAGACCCCTGAAGCCCCAGCGGACAATCCCAAGCACAATAAAGGTGTGAAAGTTTTGTGTCCTTAGGCTTTTGGGGGACAGCGGGAGCGAAGGGTTGGGTGGGGCCCCGCTGGGCTGCACCGATTGTCCTTGGCTCGGCCTGTCGGCTCGGCGCATACGCGGGCTGCGTGGTTGCTCTCGCGTGTTACTCCCAAGTTGCTGATAATGGCAGGTGCTCGAGGGTTCTGCGTGGACAGGTAGGCAATCTCCGTCCCCCTCTCTTACCCATTAATATTTAGGTCTCTAGGCTGTACAGGGTTTTCACATAACTGAATCCAGATATAATTTTGTTCCTCTTCTCGAGAGGAGGAGCCTAAGATTCTCAGCGACTTCATTGTCTGCAGCTGATCAAAGGGAACCCAGGAGTGCAGACCTGAAGTAACTCTCCCCTGACACACCCAGGCCAAACTGACAGCATCTGTGAATCCTGGCTATCTACAGATAGCCCCAATTTCAAATGTGGGCCCTGCCGTCCTCTGTGTGAGGTGTCATGCCCTAATTCTGGATTTGAAATATTTTGGTCATTCTCTATGATGCTCTTCTGTATTAGTCTGGAAATGAGATAGTCCTTTCTGGAAGCCTGGCTCTCCTGGATTTTGGGGCCCCATTCAAGGGAAACTTGGGTTCAAATGAGCTCTGACTGAACATTCCACCGCTTTTCCCACTTTTCATGACTAAAGATCCTGAAGCCTGTGCATAGCCCATGACAGACCAATATGCTCCTGGCACACGCGCGCGTACACACACACACACACACACACACACACTTCCTTTAAATCTCTCCCCTGATACTCCCAGGTACCAGAGAAAGTGAGAGGACATTTTTAATCCCACAATTTGGTTTCCCTACCTATTTCTAGAACCTCATCCCTGGGTTAGAACTCTTCCATACAAGGAAAATGTGATAAACATTCTCAGTTTGTATGACAAACATCCATATGAAAATTTATGCTGGCATCATATCTGATCCTGAAAAAGTCCAAGAGATATGTACAGGTATAAAAACCTTTCAACTCCTCAGAAAGGTGGCTTAATACCTGATAGGTTGCTCAGGCAAGTCCAGATCCATGTGAAAGTAGATTCATAGGTAGGGACAAAACTAGCCCATGGAAGTAGAGATAAATTTTAAAAGTGGATTATTAAGACAAAGATAAATTTGGTGCCTCACAGGTGAAATTCTCCCCTCCTAATGTAGGAGTGTCTTCAGGCTTTCCATCTAACATTTCTTTGTATTGACGTTTGAAGAAGCCAAGCTGTGAAAAGAAATAAATCAGAAATACTTGGTATGAGAATAGGAAGAAACTGAGAGAGAATAAGAGAACTAAGTAAGATTATGTTTTTGTGCCAGAACATTTATATGAACAACAGCTGTCATATATTGAATATCTGTTGTATGCTGAGCACAGTATCATACACATAATCTAGAATAGAAAAGCATAGATTCTGCAGGCAGGCAGATTTATACATATACCCTGGCCTCATTTCTGCCTAATTTCATGTAATCTATGAGGTAAGCCTTATTATCATTTAAAAAATGAGAAACAAGGGGCTTGGGTTGTAACTCAGTGGTAAAGAGCACTTGCCTAGCATGTATGAGGCACTGGATTCAATTCTCAGCACCACATATAAATAAATAAAATGAGAAACAGATTCAGAGAGGTTGAGCAACTTGCTAACATACAGTAAATAAATTCTAGAGGCAAAATGTGTGCCTAGTCCTGTCTGGCACTATAGTCAGATTCTCATGCTATTATCCTGTCTGTGACAGGGCTGGGTTTGGCTGCTGGTAGTGTTAGGAGTGGAATAAAGTACTTGCCTTATACAATGTGGCTGTGATAAGAGCCAGCAGCAGCAGACCTCCCACAGAGCTGCCCACAATGAGGGAGATGGGATTATAGACCTCAAATTCTTCTAGCAGTGTCTCCATCTGATTTGGAGATCAGAAAGCATGAAGTTTCATGTTGCTTCAGACTTCCCCAGGGTTCTCCAACCTTTAGCTCCCTTCCCTCCTTCCCTAGGCCCTGCTCCAAGAGGTGAGATCCAGGAGCACTCATACTCTTCAAGACTTTTGTCTTGCCCAGGGACTTTCCTCCCTCCTCCCTCTAAGCTTTCAACCCCCCACCCAGCAGCACAGATTTAGTATCAGGAGCCTCTTACCAGTCTGGCCACTGCCTACCCCACAGTCACTACCTGGGCTCTCAAAAATGCCTCCTGTCCTGGAAGCTGGGCATACACAGATCTATCAAATGTGATTTCAGCCACACTCATGATCAACACCTTCTTCTGCAATGTCTGCAAGACAGTGTTAGGGTGAGGAGAGCTAGGGAATTGTCTCTGAGGGAAACTCAGAGTTCAGCAAATGACCTGGCCTAAGGCTTGGTGCAGACCCATCAGATACCATGTGAATCTGGGGGAAGGGCCTACACACCTGGCTGACCCAGCCAAAGCTGAGGTTGCCTTTCAGGATGAAGTCAAGCTCCTCCTGGATGCCGAAGGAGGGGATGTCACAGCGGAACCTCATGCAGTCAGCAATGGAACAGTTCTTGAGACAGGAGAGGAAAGAAGCTGAGGAAGATCTTCACTTAGGGTGGGGGGGGGGAACCATAAAACGAAATAAAGGATGCAGAGTTTGGGTGGAAAATAGATGAAAAATTACAAGATAAATGCATAATTCTATAATCTAGCAATACATTTTTGCTGTATCTCCCAATATGGGCTGGTCTGATAGTGGGGGACTCAGGGTCTTTCTTACCAGCACAGAACTCCTTGGAATCTGGGTCAGGAAGTCAGAATGCTGGGGAGGTTCCCTCTCTGACACGCAGGGGAGACTCTAGTTGACAAAAAAAAAAATTCTTAGCAGCATAAGGATCAACATTTCCCTGATAAGAGGGTGTGCAGTACCTGTGGGATCAGTTCCTGGAGAGAAAGGAAAGACAGGCAAGCACCTGTGAAGGGGCCATCACAGTTACATCCCACACAGGCACATCATTCAGCAAGATGGGAACCCAGAATATTATGCTGATGGCCAGATCCCGCTGACTTAGGTTATTCACCTGCAGAAAATTGAGACCAAATGACATTATAGTCCCTGGCACATACCAAATCACACTTCTTTCCTAGCAATAGCCCTGGGGTCTTCTACATCTTTCCCACCAACTTCCAACTCCACGAACACCAGGAAGGACAGACATGAATATGTCCCAGCCTCTTACGCGGTATCGATGTTCTGCCTCTTTCCTGCTGCTCTCATCAGAAATAGAAAAGCTGAAGTACTTGGTGGATTCTTCCTGTCTGGAGAGAAAGGGCCTGTTGGTGAAAAAACAGCCCTACACTCATCCCCAGTTGTGCCCTAGCTTGCTGCAGAGAGCAATGTTGGGCCCAGAAAGTGACCTAGGCAAACACCAAGGTCCCACATACCTCTGCAGCTCAGCTTCAGCTTAGTCCTCCCTCACTGCCTTTTGCCTCAGTCACCCAAAACTACCAGCTCTTCCCTTGATACTTGTGGCTCTTTCACATCCCCATGACTTTGCACAAGTTCTTTCTTCTGCCTAGAATGTCCTTACCCACTCCTCTTCTGGAAATTTTCACTTAAACGCTCAACTTGAACATCACCTCTCAGAATATCTGAACATTTTCCTCTGGGAAAAGGCATTCACATTGCTTTCTCTAGTAGATACAGGACTGGCCTCAGATGATGCTTGCAGAGGCTGCTGCCAGAACAAATAACTCTAAGGGGACTCCAGGGAGTGACAGCTGGATCACTCAAGAAAAAACAAAATAATGGCCCCTCTGTGGTGGCAACAAAGAAGATAAATGTGGTTATCTTGGGGAAGGATAGTAAATGTGAAGGAAGATAGTAAGTGAATTCAAGCCTACAGAGGGGACATAAGTGTTTCAGGCTACAGGAGGATTTCCATCCATCTCTCCATCCATCCATCCCTCCACTTATGGCTTCTTTCAGGAAATATTTATCATATACCAGGCGATATGGATGGCCATGGAGATTCAACAGTTAAGCCACAATCTCTGCCTTCTCAGAGCTTTAAGATCTCAGTAGTATCAAACAGTCAAGATTAAAGACCTGCTCTTTTCCCTAGCACCCAGAGCACAAAAGCCAAACCAGCCACACAGAAACTTTGTGGGCCCCAGCAATTTTCCTATTATTAGCTTGCTAAGTAAGAACACAGGAACTGGGGTTGTAGTCTAGGGTAGAGCGATTGCTTAGCATGTGCAAGGCCCTGAGTCCTATCCTCAGAATACAGAGGAGCTGCCTGAGTTCACATCTAGATTAGCACTTCCTACTCAAGTAACATGAGGCAAGAGAGTTAGCCTCTCCAGAGACCTATAGTTTTTTCCTCCTTAAAATAAGGATGCTTATAATATTGCCTATTTGTAGCAGAGTTGTGATGGGGGTTATAGCAGCACCTAGCACCTGTGAGTCCTCCATAAGTGTGAGCATTTACTTTTCTCTCACTGTGCTAGCCTTTCTCTCTGCTCCCCTGCCTCCTATGCTTTAGTTTTCTTATTTTAAATTTTCTTGTTCTAAATCTCTTTTTCTTTTAAGTTAAGCAAATCATCCGACTTTCCTGAGTTTTCAGAGAAGCATATAGCATATGGCCTTGGACACAGGCCCTGGAATCAAACCATCTGGGCTCACTAACTTGTATTGGCCCTCACGAGCAAAAAACCTGTCTCCCAGGGTATCCTTGTAAGGCATCCAACATGATTTACCTGGTGAATGATGGGAGCAAGTTATTTAACCTCTTAATTTTTCATTGATAAAATGGAGATAACAATACAATTATTGGGAGGATTAAATGAATATAAAAACAACACAAAAAACCCCACAATGATAACAAAAAAATGTTTGTCATAAGTATATATAACTGTAAACTTTTATCATAAGTATTTTACTGTGGATAAAAGGGGAAACTGACAAATGTGGTCCATGAGTCCTAGATGGACAATAAGACTGCCTGATCCCCTTCCCTAGTTCCTCTATAAATTTAACAGCAACAGCAGCAAGCTCTGTCCCATGTCACACTTTAACCCTCTGGAGTACAATTCAGTGTGTGGAGTCCCTTGCTTTCCTTCCAGCTTGGCCGGCCCAGCTCCTTCACCCACCTTCAGAACCCATAGTTGTGGCCCTACATTTGCCTCTCCTGTGGCCTTCCTCGGCTTTGAGTTTTTAGAGACCTTCCCAACAGTCTCTCACACCTTTACCCTCCTCTCAGTTTTGTAGAAACCTGACCTTTCCTTTCCTCTATGTGGTGACAGACCATATCCTGTTGGTTACCCAATTCAGAGTACTTACAGTGATCTCAATCTAGTAGCTTTACTTTAGCATGTTCATGTTTGGCGCAAAGGAAAGGATTGCCTTCATGTTAAAAGAAGCCTGAATTTTTGAGGGAGAGGAGAAAATGGACAGTGTTGATAAGGCATATGTGTGTCCCACCAGCAGGCCAGTTCATCAGAGAAGAAGCAAGAATTTGTGTGGCCCATCATGTTGTACTATAAACATGGCTGGCCACCCACACAATCATTCCCATAGGAGAAATCAGAGGACATAATTTAGGTACGCTGTAATTTAGATATGAGTTTATGCTACAAGGGTTCATGTGTTGGGTGCTTGGGCCTCAGGGTAGCAATGTTGAGATGTGCTGGGACCTTTAAGAGGCAAGTCCCAGTGAAATGTAAGATCAGCCCCTCCCCCTTTCACAGGCTTCCTATCTCATGGTGCAATCTTATCCTCTGGCACACATTTTGGTGTTATCTGCCACAATATAGTCAAGGGGGTCCTCACCAGAACTGTCACTACACTGTTTGACAATCAGCATTCGCAACTGTGAGCTAAATAAACCTCTCTTCTTTATATGTACTTTGCCTCAGGTAGCCCATTATAGTAACATGGATTAACATGGATGCCCATCACCAAAAGGCTGGCCTGCAGCAGAAGAAACTAGGCTTGAAGGAAGGTTAAAGGTCTAAGGGGAGGGATAGGGATTAAGCACCTGCTGATCATTGTGTACACTGCATATTTCACTGGGATCCCCAGCTGGAAGGTAGTCTTGTTGGTTGCAGGCTTATTATTCTCACTGGAGAAAGAGAGGGGAACCCAATTGGAAAGGAATCCAGGAGAGGAGTCTCCAGCTGACCAGAGAGTGGCCTGAGCTCACCTGCTTGCATTGGCCCTCATAAGCAACCTGTCTCCCAGAGTGGCCTTGTAGGAAACGTCAAATGTGATAATGAAGGTGCCCTGAGGGAAGAAGAAATAAGGAAGAGGGATAGGGAAGGAGCAGGGAGTAAGGGAAGGGAGTGGGTCAGGACAAGGAAGAACAGTGATGAGGTTTTGGGGGCAGCACTGACCGTAGTACCCTCTCTGAAGATGGGGTGGTTGATGCTGCAGCTGCTGCTCCTCAGGCCTTCATTCCCAGTGGGATTTGCCTCACATGCCAGGCGCAGTGGACGCTGATGGGGTTGCTTCTAGGGAAGGAAAATGAATTCTGAAAAGTTACCCTTATGCATATACAGTCTTGATATATCACAGTAGTGGCATTGGATAGCAGTAGGAGAAAGAACAGACGTTTCAACAAAAGGTGCTAGGAAAATTGACCTATACCAAAAAAGAGAAAAGGTGGGACTCCTACCCTCATTCCATACATTAAAATAAATTACAACTGTATGAAAGACTCAAATGTGAAAAAAACCAAACTAAAGATTTTAAAAGATAATATAGATGACTATTTTTATAACCTTGGGGTATCAAAGTATTACTTAACACAAAAACATGAAGTACAAAAGAAAACATTGACACAAATCAATAACAAATTAAGACATTGTTTTTTAAAAGACATTATAAAAGACAGGCAATGGGAAAGATATTTGAACACATAAAATTGGAATAGGATTAATAACCAGAATATGTGAAGAGCTTTTATAAATCAATAGGAAAAATACAGGCAACTCACTTGAAGAATAGAATAAAGATGGGAACAGACACTTTCCAAAAGAAAAGATCCAAATGACAAGGAAATATATGCAAATTTGCTCAACCTCTACAGAATTAAGACTGTAAGGAAAGAGTATTACTCATTTACCAGACTGACGGAAATTTAAAAGTCTGATGATGTTAAGTGTTAAAGAAAGCCACAGGACCTCTCACATACTGCTGATGGAAGTGAAAATACTTTTAAAAATGGTTTGACTTTACTTGTTAATTGAAGATATATATATATATTACACATTTTATTATATATATTATAATATATACATTTATATGATATATAAATATATAATTATATATAAATTATATATTATATATTCATATATTTAATGTAAATTATATTTATATAATTATTTTTAAATATATAAATTTATATAAATTATATAAAATTATATAAATATATTGTATATTGCATGATATATATTATATATAATATATAATGTATATATATTTTATATAATGCGTGTCATTTTATATATATATATATATATATATATATATATATATATAGTAATAATATACTCAGTAATTCTGTGTCTTCAAAATATTATGTATAGGTACACCAGGATTTATTCAATTATGGCCAAAATCAGGAAACAATTCAATGGCTATTAATTGTAGAATGGAAAAATAAATTGTGGTACATTTCATACAAAGAAATTCTGTATAACAATGAAAATATTCTACCCCCACATGCAACAGCATGGATGGATCTCACAAACATAATATTGAGGTAAAGAAGCAAGGCACAAAAGAGTACATATAACATGTTTTCATTCATATAAAGTTCAAATAGCAGCAAAACTGAAGAATGTTATCTAGGGATACACCCATGGATTGGTAAAATTATTTAAAAATACAAGGAAATTATTATCGCAAAGTTGGAATAGTGATTACCCTTGGGGAAAGGTTGTGATTGTGATAGGATAAGGTACATGGTAAGAAGACTTTGAGAAAACTAGCAGTGTTTTATTTCTTGACCCAGGTGTTAAATTTATGAACTTTTGCTTAATATAATTTATTAAACTATACATAGGCTTAATGACTTCTCTGTCTCCCTCTATGTGTATGTGTGTGTGTGTGTGTGTGTGTGATCACTTAGAAAGTATAGGACAGTGGAGGAGCCTGCTTTGTTTTGGATACAGTTTGAATGTTCCATGCTTTTAAATATAATCTCCATTGTTATGTATTAAGAGTGTGGAAACTTAATCTGACTATGGTATTTAGAGGCAAGGCCTTGGGAAAGCAATTAGGATTAGATAAAGTTATTGGGGTGGGGTGTCCCACAATTGCATCCTGGTGACTTTATAGGAAACAGAAGAGAGACTAGACCAACACACATACACACATTTACTTTCTGTCTCTTGCCATATGATGGCTTGCATTATCTTAGGATTCTTCCAACAAGAAAACCATCATCAGATGTGGCCCCTTGACCATGCACCTCCAGAATAGTGAGCCAAAATAAACAGTTCTTTGTAATTTACCCAGTGTGTGGCATTTTGTTACAGGCAACAGAAAACAGACTAATACAAGACCCCAGTCAGCTAGAGCCCAAGGAAGGTGTTTACCTGTGTTGCTGACACCCGGCGATAGGATAGTCCTGCTGGGTAGTAGAAGTTGACTACAGTTCCATAGGAATCCTCACCCTCATTCCATACAGTCACTATCAGATTGAGCTCCAGGGAGCTTCCTACCATCAATGTCTGTAGGCTGAAGGGAAGGACAAGATTGGGAGTGTGACTCCTCTGGAAGTAGGTTGTAATTGGATCGAGGGGCAGGAACAGGATTTGGGGAACTCATGAATCATGCACCAATAACATTCCTGTCAGAATCATTTTTGTTAGACAAACACCCGAAGAGAAGCACAAATCATCCTAGGAGTTTAGTAAACTCAGAAACTTGAATATCTGTATATGAAAGGAGATGGAGCTCACCCTAAGAAGCTAAAGTTGACACGCAGGTCCCCCTCACAGATGTGATCCTGCCCACAGTTCTTCTCAAAGGGAAGCTGCAGAAAATCAGTATATATTCTCTTCTCATTCCATGTTTTAATCTTTCTTCAGCCCCCTCATTAAACATGCTTATCAACATTGACTCTTACTGAACCTCTGCACCCAGTACTGTACTGATACTAGCAAGAGTAGAGATTGGGTGTGGAGGTTAGAATATAAAAAAAGACAAGGGCTGGGGTTCTGGCTCAGTGGTAGAGCACTTGCCTTAGCACGTGTGAGGCACAGGGTTCAATCCTCAGCACCACATTAAAATAAATAAATAAAGTTATTGTGTTCATCTACAACTAAACTTAAAAAAAAAAGACAATATCCTTGGCTTCAAGGACAATAAAGTCCAGTTGTATCAAATCAGATTATTCAACAAACATTAAGTGCCAGTAACAGGACAGGCTTTGGCAGTTTGGAGGAAATGAAAACTTCAGGCAAATTAGATGTGGTTCTTGTACTCAAGGAACATACAATCCCCAAGACAGATGCAAATGTATATGCAGATGGTTATGATTCCCCTGATGTGTATATTTGGGATGTTTTTTGTAATCATGGAGTAATTGGGGGCCAGAGAAGTGAGAACTGTTGAGTGCAGGTTTTCAAAAGAGAATGAGTCTCTGGGCGTGGTGTCACATGCCTGTAAACCCCAACAGCTTGAGAAGCTGAGGCAGGAGGATCACGAGTTCAAAGCCAGCCTCAGCAACCGCAAGGCACTAAGCAACTCAGTGAGACCCTGTCTTTAAATAAAATACAAAATAGGGCTGGGGATGTGGTTCAGTGGTTGAATGCCCCTGAGTTCAATCCTCAATAATCACCCTCCCCCCAAAAAAGAGAAGGTGTCAAGATCAGAGCTTGGAGAATTCGAGAAGATCCTTTAGATAGAAGGAGGAAATGTTTTTCAAATTGGGGATAGAATACAAAGTCTGACAGGGAGGGCTGAAAAAAGTTGGGAAGGATCAGTAGAATGAGAACAAGAGAGTTTATGTCATGGTAAAGTAGGTAACCAACTGGGATATGTTTCAGGGTCCAAACGTGGCAGGGTTTTCCTTCGCTGGGTGGAGGCTAGGAAATGTGGTGGGTGGGCTATTGTGGGCTCTTAAGAAAGCCATCACATCTCTGGGACTTCATTGGGACTTCATTGGAAGACTCACAGAAGCAGTGAACATGTCTTGTGAGCCTGCAGCCAACACAGGGTGAAGATTACGGGATAAGGTGGAGTCTCTCGCCAGGGAGAAGTTGAGGCGCAGGATGATGGGGTTCACCACATCCTCCACACAGTCCTGAAAGAGAATGGGTTTTCAAGAACCCACCATCCTTCCTACTTTCCACCACTGGGGATTTTTCACTGCATCTAGACAGTAGCCCAACCAAGCTGTGAAGCCAAGTCCTCCCGCCCCAACCTTCCTCTCTCCAGACCCAGTGTCCTCACCCACGGATTCTATAGGCTAGCCTTGGGATCCTCCTCCCTCTCCCTTTTCCAAAACCCAAAGTCCTTACTGGCAAAAGCAACTTCACGGTTTCACAGTGATCCCCAAGCCCCAAGGTTTTTTTTCGAGTCAAAGTCCAGTTCTTGGTCTCATTAAAAATGGCACGAGAAATCAGACGACCCGGATCCAAAGCCAGATCATACCTGACAGAGCTTTGGACATCACCTGAAGTGAAAGAAGTAGAAAAAGGAAAGGAAGAGAAAACCTACAATGTTCTCTTTTCATTTATTTGTTCATGAGATGAATATTTGTAGAGCACTTTCTATGGGCCATGAACTGTACCAAGTGCTGGGGATACACACTGAGAAGAAGATGGATATGACCCTGCCCTCATAAAGCTTATATTCCAGGAAAAGAGCCAAACATATGTCATATGTTGTCATATGGCCATAATGTCACAGCATGAGTAGTATCTTGGTCAGGGATGCTGTCCTAGATAGACCATATCTAAGCTACAACCCAGAGGGTGAAGCACAGAGAGGAGAATGTCCCAGACTGTGGCTAGAGTAGCTAAGTCTCCAAGGGAGAGGGAGGCTGGCACATTTACCAAAAATGTATAGAGAAAGGAGGAGTGAGCCAGATGTGGTGGCGCACACCTGTAATCCCAACTGCTCAGGAGACTAAGGAAGGAAGATCACTAGTTCAAAGCCAACCTCAGCAATTTAAGTAGGCCCTAAGCAATTCAGTGAGACCCTGAGTTATATTTATTTAATAAAATAAAATATAAGAAGGGCTGGGTATGTTTTTCACCCCTGGGTACAAAAAAAAAAAAAAAGAGAGAGAGAGAGAGAAAAGTGGAATGAGGTGAGAGAAGATTGAGGGAGGGACCAAGTCAGAGAGGACATTGCAGGGAAGGATTCAGGTCTTTATAGATTCAAGTGGGAGTAATTTAGGGGTCTTAAGAGTAGGGTTGAGGAGCCCAGATTTGCATATTAGGACCAAATGAGTTCTAATATCCCCTCATCTGTGAAGAATGAGTGAGGGTGCAAAAATAGAGGAACTGCTCAAAGTGTCTTTATTTTGGTGTAGGTGGGAAGGAGAAGTGGTGGCTTACAGGAAGGCAGTGGCTAGGGCCAGGAGAAAGAAGTGGGCAGACTCCAAACCTACCCTGGGGATGGAACCCCAGGTGTAGGTGTGAGAAGAAGGGAGGGAAAGGACCCAGGTTTCTGACACACAGGTAGCTGAGCAGATACAGGGATGAGATTTGGATTCCTGAGCCCATTCTGTTCTTAGGATAGCCTTGGAGTCCTCTAATGGGACAAGGGACTGGGCCTTACCTAACTGGTCAAGTGAGCTCTTGTGGATAGTGAGACAGATCATGGCCTCCACAGCTTCCAGGGAGGTGGGCACCTCTTCCCAGCACTGGTACGCAGCCTTTGCCACCTCCATGGGTGTGAATCTCATAGTTACTCCCACTTTCAGCACTGGCAGGCTCCTGAGGGGCATAAGTAGGTGCTGAGGGCAGGACACTGGCCTCTGAGAGGGGACTAAGGTAGGGGAGAGCACTGGTTAATCAGACACACAGCAGGCAAGGGCAGCATGTTGGGGAGTTGTCACCTGAAGAGCAGTACGTGCCCTTGGGCCCCCACAGCCAGGTCCACCAGTCCATCCTGAGTGAGGTCCTGACCACCGCTTAGCGACTGCCCAAAATACTGGAGCTTTAAGGAGAACTGGGAGCCAGTGATCCGCTGGCCATAGAGGGAAAGAAAAAGTGGAATTCAAGGGAGGTGATTGCAAAGATTTGATAAGCAGATTTGGAAACAGCTTGTAGTGAAAGAAGACCTGAATACAGAAATTGAAAAGGAGAGATGAAGGGGCGTGAGTTGAAAGAAAACAGGGTGAGGACCTCAGGGACCCCCAGATGGAAGGGAGAGCTTTTGGTTCAACTCATCATGAGTCTACAGGCTAACAATAAAATAGGAGCCTAAAAATAGCGAAATAATCAATTTGCTTATTCATCATTTGCTATGTTCATTCATAAATATTTGATGAATGGCGTGCTTAGTGCATCCATTGCATTTTCTTTACAAGAAGCCCGGGGAGTTGGTTTGATGGTTGTCACGTTCCACAGAAGGACACTAAAGCTCCCAGAGGCTAAGCTAGCCACTTGCCTGAGGCCATACAGCTACTGATGGCTGGTAAGGCCAGGAATTTGACAAGGGGCCTGACCTCAAAGTCTGATCTCTTACCATTAAGCTGTTCACAATAGATTGAAGGCTGTTTGGAACCAAGACAGATGATTGTTTAGCTGGGTCTGGTGAAATTCAAGAAAATAAACTACTGAGCTGGGGATGTAGCTCAGTAGTAGAGTGCTTGCCTGGCATGTGCAAGGTAAACTGAGTTTGAACTGAGTTCAATCCCCCATGCTGCAAAAGAAAAGGAATGAAAGGGCAACCAAAAGAAGAAGGGAAATGACAACTCCTAAGGCTTGTGACAGGAGGCTGTGCTCAGTAAATACACGTCATTGAAAGGGAGGAGGACCATAAGAGGCTGAAAACAGGGGCTCTTACCTGGCTGTGGGAGGAACTGATGTCTAATCCTGAGGTTCCATGAAATAAGTAAACAGCACCCTGGTTCTCCTCCTCTCCAGGGGCCCCAATGGCCACATCTACCAGATGGTCTCCATTGATATCCCCCAGCACTGTCAGAGCTGCTCCAAAGCGACCCCAGGGATGGCCCTGCTCCCCACGGAGAATGATCGCACACTGCCATCTGCTCCTCTACAGAACAAAAACCAGTGCCAGGTCCAATCCAGGCAATCCACACCTCACACCCGGGCCCCACCCAGCCCAGGTCCAATCACCACTCACCCCCTTGGGCATGGGGCACACGGACACCTGCCCTCCTCCTTGGGTCTGCTCATAGTAATGGGGAGCCCCAATGAGGACCACATCGGTGCTGCCATCGCTGTCCACATCCACAGAGCAGAGGGAGGCCCCAAAATAGGAGCCGACCTGGGAGGAGAGTTTGAAGTCATCTTGCCTGCCCCTGCCAGAGGCACCTCCTTTCTGGGCCAGGTCCTGCCTCTCCCCAGGTACCAGGACCTGCCCTATCAGCTCCCTGCTCCTAGCCACCCTGCCCGCCCTCATGTTCAACCAACATGGTCTTCCACACCAACCTGGGTCCCTGTGACTTCAGCCTTTGGCCTCCATTGCCTGGATATCTGGGTGAAGATGACAACCTTCCCAGTGTGCTGGTGGCGAGGGGCCCCCAAGACCAGGCTGTGTACCCCTTTCCAAAGGGCCAGCTCACTGGAGTAACCTGAGGGGGCCCAGCGTCAACACTAAGGCTTCTCCTCCCCTTCCCACAGCTTGTCACCCACCTGTCCCCCACCACAGCCTTTTCTCACCTAAGTAAGAGTCCCTCATGTCCACATTCTCCTGAGACATGTTGATGAAGGTGGAGTTCATATGTGGTGGGTATAGGAAGGCACCTCCAGACCAGCTAAAGCTCCCCACAGCCCCCAGTACTGGTCCATCCTGGGAGGAAAAGATTCCAGGTCTGAGCAGAACAAAGCAAGAAGGCAGCCTAAGCCAAAGAAATGCCCTCCCCTAACTCCTCTGATCATTTCAAGTTTTCTTCTTTAGTGCTCACCAGCACCCTCTGTACCCCAGCCACTAGTATCTCTAAGTCCATCCCCACTGCCACTGTTCCCACCTTCACCCCTGCCCTTTCTGCTTCCTACTTTGCTCTTGTCTGTTCTACCTTCTCTTACCCAAGCAATCGGCATCCCCAAACCCAAATGTGCAGGCATCATTCTGCTGGAAAACCATTGCCAAGCCCTTAGAATGGCATCTGGGACTCCTTGCAAGCAAACCCTTGAAGTTATTCTCTGTTCTGAACCCCACTAAACTTTTGACCTAGCCACTTCTCTCCCTTATTCTCCGCTCCTCTCTCTCTCCAACCGTCAACCTCAAAACAATCTCCTCTGTGACTAATTCCTTAGCACCCTCAGGAAACAATTCTTATTTTCTCCTCAGTGAACTTAGTTTATTGCTTTTTTGAACTTTTGATTTCATTAACCTCTAATAATCCTGACCTAGCTTCAGTGATCAATTCATGACCAACCTTGTTTAATGTCTACCACTCCCTGCTCACTGCAAATTATTCTGAAACCAATCCTTCTGGATAATTTGAACACACATCTATTTTCAGACAAGTCTCGCTGTATTGTCAACTCTCTGGTCTGCCCTGTCTGGTATTTCCCATTTCTCTAGTCCTCTCCTTGCTTGCTGTCTCTTGTTCCCTCTGCTCCTGCTATGCTGGCCCTTCTGATTGCTCCATCACAGTAACTTTGTCTCTGCCTGAAGACTTTTGCACTTGTTTTGCCTCTACCTAAAGCAATCTTTCCCCAGATTTTCCATAGGCTTGTTCTTTTTTTTTTTTTAATCATTCAGCCTCTTCTGACCACCTTTCTTTTCCTACCCCAACAGCACAGTCCAAAACTCTTTTGTCTGTATTCTCTGCCCACAAGAATATGCCCTCCAAGAGTATAGAAGCCCTGAATTTCCTCTTCTAGCACCAAATGCACTGCCTGATGTTCTCCCTGATCTGACAGTGAACTTGAGGACCAGATCTGCTTCTTATTTACTTTTGGGTTCCAGCTCCCAGCCCAGGGCTGGCCCAGAGCTGATGCTTGAGACCTGTTTATCAAGTACACACTGTACCCACCATTGTGAGCACTGAACTGAAGCCTTCTTGTGACATCTCATGCTGAAAGGAGCTACTTGTCCTCGATTGGGTTCCTGTAGGGAAACAGGTTCTTCAAAGCCATGAGATCATGAAGCTTCAAAGCAGAAGGAAGAGATCATAGGCTTGTGACTCAGGTTCTAGGGATTAATTTGGGGTTAGTTGTAAACAGGAATGCACTGTCAAGACTACAAGGGACAACTGGGTGGGGAACCCCTTCAACTCCAATGCTCAAGTACCTTCTACTGCAAAGATCTTCTCCTGAAGCTGCTTCTGGATGCTGCTGAGTGCTGCAAAGTTGTCCACCTCAAACACATGTTCCTGAGGGGGTACTGAGCCAATGGTGCTCAGTTCTTGTCTGGCACTGGGCTCCTGGAAAGCATCTCCCACCTGCAGCAGAGAGGTAGCTGAGGAGGAGGAACCCACTGGCCTTTACTAGGCTGAGTCTGAGGGAGCAATGTAGAAGAGGCCATACCCCAATGGCATAGCGGATAATGCCAGCTTTCTCTGCCTGGGGAATGACATCATGGTATTCCAGGGGGTCTCTATACTTCTGCCCATCTGTGATGACAATGAGGATCTTCTTGGCACGTTTTCGGGCCCCATTCTTGCTATGAAATAGCTCTCTCCTGTCAGGAAGGAAAGGGAAATGACTCTACTGAGATATGATTGATTATGAAAAGATATCATTAGCACAAGAAGCTCATCTGGAAAAACTAGGGAGTCCTGACCCCAGGACATGCCAGACTCCATCAGGCATGTTAAGGAAATGATTCAGTCTTTTTTTTAAAAAAAAAATACTGGCAATAATTAGTAAGCCCAATAATAAGAGTACTCATATAATTTTTTTCTTAAAATTCTATTACTGAACTTCAGTCCCAGCAGGCAGTATGGTTCAAAGTGGAAGCTCTGGAATCAGACATGTTTTGAGTAAATTATTGAACCTGTGAACCTCTGCTTCTTTCTGTACCAGATGAGAGTACAGAACCACAGCTGGTTCTCCTCCCACAGTGAACCTGGCCTGGCTTGTGACTCACTTTCAATAGTAGCATGCAGTAAGAGTAACACTATGACATTGGTGAGCCTAAAAATCCTTCATATCTTTTGCTTTTGCACTTTGGGGAGTCCTGAGCCACAGTGAGAGAAGTCTGGCTACCCTTTTGGAGGTACCTTATGGAGTGGTCACAAGGAAGGAGACCACAGAAGGGACCCACTTGCCCCAACTGAACCCAACTGTCCCACCAATCCTTCCTAGGCACCAGACATATGAAGGAAGCTCTCAAGAGCCCAGTCCCAGACATCTGACCACAGCCCCACAAGAGACCCTAAACAAGAGCAGCAGAGGAGGCAGCCAGCCTCATCCCTGGGATTGTGAAAAATCATAAAAGGGTTGTTACTGAAGCCACTATATTTGTTAATGTATTGTTAAGCAACAGTAGATAACTGAAGGAAATAGTGTCAGGTTTTTTGGAAGTATAAAGGAGGTCAGCCTTTATAACAGTGAATGGCCTACAGGTAACCATTAGTTAGATAATAGCTATAAAAATGTTAAAAATGTACATATATGTTCATATAGCTTTATAAACTCAGAACGAACACACCCACACGCACATGCACACACAGGCTAAACAATAAACACATGCTAATTGTAATACTGGAAACCATCTAAATGCCCAACATTAGGGAAAGGATTTAGGAGATCATGACCTAGTTCCTTTTTTGAAAGATAAACATCCTTTTCAAATGAAAACTGTGATAAAATGTGAAACCGGTTATATGACCTGGATTTTTTTAAAAACAAGATGAAAATAGTTTCTGGGGCTGGGGTTGTGGCTCAGTGGTAAAGCGCTTGCTTTATAAAGGAGGTCAGCCTTTACAAGAGTGTGAGACACTGGGTTCGATTCTCAGGACTACATATAAATAAGTAAATGAAATAAAGGTCCATCAACAACTAAAAAAAAAAAAAAAGAAAAAGAAAATAGTTTCTTCCCTTATTGGAACTAAATAGAAAAATTCTGAATAAAGACAAGGATGGAAATTACCCTTTGCCAGGCAGGTGGGATTTATTTATCCCTCTCATTGCTAAAAAAAAATGAAATAAAAATTAAAAAAAAAAAACTATAAGGTGGTCAACTAGAGAGACTGTGGATAAAAATTCTTTAAAAAATTTTCTTAATCTTATCCTCATTTTGTCTTTTTTGTAATGAAGCTTACTCCTTGGTATTTATCCAAAAAAACTAAAATCATCATACTATAGTGACACAGGCACATCAATGTTTACAGCAGTGCAGTTCGCAATAGCCAAGTGATGAACCAGCCCGGGTGCCCTTCAACAGGGGAATGCATTAAAAAAAATGGCATTTATATACAATGGAGTTTAACTCAGCCATAAAGAAGAATGAAATTAGGGCATTTGCTGGTAAATGGATGGAACAGGAGAACATCTTACTAAGTGAAATAAACCAGTCTCAGAAAGTCAAGCATTAATATTTTCTTTCATATGCAGAAGTTAGACAAAATAAGGGAAAAGTGAGTGATTCGGTAGAGGAAAGGGATTGAAGGACAGGGAGGAGGGATGGGAGAAGGGGGAACTGCAAAATGAAATTAATCAAATTATACTATGTACACATATGAATATACCATAGTGAATTCTACCTTTATGCATATATACAAAGCATCAATTAATAAAACAGTAAGTGAATAGAAAGAATTGCAGTCGAGTAGAAGAAGGAGAACAGGGAGAAGGAGGAAGGGAGGGAAAGAGGAAGACCTGGGAACTGCAATGTAGCAAATCATATTGCATGCATGTGTGATTATATCAAAATGAACCCCACTGTTACGTATAACTATGTCACAGTCATAAGAACATTTTAAAAGATAAAAAATTAAAAGTAGAAATGAAAAATTCTGTTTATAAAGAGTATTGATGGAGATTATATGGGGGATATTAAGCATTTTTAAGAAAAAGCAGAATACAGAAGAGTTTTTAGGATAAATTTTATGTAATAAAATGTGTTTAGCGGGCACGGTGGTGCACACCTGTAATCCCAGTGGCTCGGGAGGCTGAGGCAGGAGGATCACAAGCTCAAAGCCAGCCTCAGCAACTATAAGGCACTAAGCAACTCAGCGAGACCCTGTCTAAATAAAATACAAAATAGGGCTGAGGATGTGGCTCAATGGTCAAGTGCCCTTGAGTTAATCCCTGGTACCAAAAAATAAAAAATGTTTTTTAAAAAGACTTTGAAGTTACAACTGTAGCCCATCACCTATAAAACTTGTTTTACTTTTCTGAATTTCCATTTTATTATTTGTAAATGGTATTTTTAAAAAATATGAAACTGTCAGGTTTATATGTAGTGTGACTGGTAACAATATAATGTTTCTTTCAGTAAATGGTGGATGGTAAATATGGTGGTAGCATTAATTACAGTAGTGGTAATATAAAGTTGTTAATATAATACACAGCTATGACCCGAAACAATATCAAAAAGAAATAGACCAAACTTTGACTTTAGATGTCTTTGGTGACACAATTATATTTTTTTATTTCTACCATATTTATAGTTTTCTAGAATGGGCACACATCCTATATTAAAAAGCCTTTGACTTAAAATGTAAATTATGAATAGGAACTATATCATGAGAAATATAAAAAATAATCTATTGCTCATTTAAAAAAAAAAAAAAACAGTTAATATCAGGGAGGACCCAGCAGTAGCTGATCCAGCTCTGAGATGGATTTGGCTCTGGGGAGCAGAGAAACTGCTAGGAAATGTAGTGCACTCTGGGACATGGGGAAGAGGGCTGGACTTGGTTAGAACCATGTCACCTCTGCCTCTTTTACCTTTCCTCCCAGGCCCCACCACTGGAAGAACTTTGAGTGTTAAGGAAGGAACTCAGGGAGGGGACTATTCCTGTGTGACTTTAAATTCACAGAAGTTTGCCTCTTGGTTGTCCAGTTCCAAAGGGTCAGTGTCCAAGGCAGAAGAACCACCCATAAGCAAGGAGGTTACATTTGCCTGCAGCATATCTTATTTGGGATGATTCCCACCACATTCCAGCACCAAACCCAGCACAGCACTCAGAGGTGTGCAGGAAACCAAGGACTCAGAACATTCAGACCAGCTCCTTCCCACAAGAACCACATCCTCTTCTTTCTAGCTCCACCTTTTAAGTCATTTTCAACATGGACCACCTGACTCCTCTGTGGGCAGGTACAGAATAAGTGTCCTGTTAACACAGGGCATGCATGGATGAGAAGAGAGGAGATGGAAGGAGGTTAGTGGGAAGAAAGATACAAAAAAAGACACTTGTCACTGCCTGTTAGGTAAAGAGGAGCGGTGCCATTCTCTGGATTAAAAACCTCAGCCATTTATTTAGCACCTCCTTGTATACCCAGGACCAAGACCCTAACATTAGGATCTCATTTAATTCTTGCAGACTAGTTGTGAGTTTATGCCGTAGTCCGGCTGGGTTAAATAACCGAGAGGTGACAAGCAACTTGAAGGTTGAATCGGGAACTACTTTATTGCGAGTGAACTCAGCAGGAACTGAGCGAGAACTCAAAGTAGCGGGCACCCGAGATAGCAGGAGCCGCTTCTCTGCCGGACAGCAGAGGTATATATACTTAACTAACTACACACAGCTTAACTCAATTAACATAAACTAGATATAGCAGTCAACCAATAAGGAATCCTCATCATCTTAATGGCTCGCTGGCGTTGCTTCACAGACCACTCCTCCTGGCAAAGTGCCAGGAACCATCTTGACTTGATTTCAGCCCTCAACAAGTTTACCCTTTTTTAACATTTTATTGGTAGTTAGAGTCAATGACTCCCAAATCAGACAAGTAGCAAGCAAGGGAATCCAGATGTATCTGAATCAAAGCCCATGCCCCTGGATGCCCCAGGTGGGCTGCCAGAGTTCAGCATCTCCAAAACCAGACAAAGGGGAAACTCAGCTATAGAGAAATCTAGTCCCATATCGGGGAAACCTAGCACTGAGGGGCCAGGGGCACTCTAGGGAGGACTCTGCTACAGCCCCCACACTCTCCTTTAACCTCTTTCTTCAGAGCTTCCCACAGCCTGAGGTGAGCTGTGCTGACCCAGCATTAGGAAGTGATATGGCAGCTACATCCAGGGACAGCAGGGGGGGTTGCTTACACCACTTTCTGGATTCCCGTCGCCGTGAACGTCAGGCCTTTCTTTTGGATGATGGGATCCACCAGGCTCCGAGGGCTCAAACCATTCTGGAATTCGGTGAAGGTGAAGTGAGTCTCCATGAGGTTTGAGTACTGCATCAGAGAAAACTGCAAAGACCAAGGCAGAGGGCCCAGGGATCAGAGCTTGTTGTGGGTTACCCTTGGTGTTATTTTTAGTGAATGACTTTTTATCTCAGAAAAACTTTGGATTTACAAATCGTTCCCATATATTTTAGGCCCTACCAATAATGTAATGAAACACAGGGTAGGGGGACAATTGCTCTAAAGACACAAAAAGAAAACTGGGAAAATCAAAATTAAATAATGCTTTTTTCATGATTTACAAAGAATAGCCATGCCAAAGATAATATTTGTTAAACTTACATTAAAAAATGTATAACACGTGAAATCAATTTAGATATTTCCTCTCTTTCTAAGAATTTGTATTTACATACAAATTAGTTACTAGAAAGTAATAAAGAAGTCATGAGTTACACATAAAACATAATGAAGAAAGTACCACTCACTTGGCTGAGTTACCTTCAGCCAAACTTCACAGCAGAATTATTTTTGTTTTATTTTATTTCCTTTATTTTTACAGTACCAGGGATTGAACTGAGGGCTTCTCACATGCTAGGTGATCACTCTACCTCTGAGCTACATTTCCAGCCATTTTTCAAGTTTAGTTTGAAACAGGTCCTTGCTAAATTGACCAGGCTGGCCTCAAACTTGCCATCCTCCTACCTTAGCCTCCTGAGTAGCTGGGATTATAGACACATGCCACCATGCACAGCTCAAAATTATTATTTTTATGTTCTTTAAATGTTTTTTTTTCCTTGGGTTTTTGTTTGTTTGTTGATACTAGGAATTGAGCCGAGAGGTACTTTACTGCTAGACTATATCCCCAGTTGGTTTTCATTTTTTATTTTTGAGACAGAGTCTCACTAAATTGTTAAGGGTCTTTCTAAGTTGCCAAGTTTGGCCTAGAACTTGTGATCCTCCTGTCTCAGCATCTCAAATCACTGGGATTTCAGACATGCACCACTGTACCCAGCTTCCTTTCAATGATTTTTTTTTCTTTTAAAAAAATTTGTTCTTTTTAGATACACCTGACAGTAGAGTATATTTTGACATATTATACATGTATGGAGTATGTCTTATTCTAGTTAGGATCTCATTCTTGTAGTTTTTAAACAACATGTGGTATACAGATACATATTAAATGCCATTGGTCAGACTCAAATTGGCCCTGCACTGGGACCTTGACCCTGGCCCTAGCCTCATCATGACACAGCTCCATGAGCCATCCCACCCCCAGTGATGCCAGGCCCACTTCCCAGGTCTGTCTTGCTCCCCTAATCAGGTCTCAGTGCCCAGTATTTACCAGAGTGTTGGTGCCCTGAAACTGGTCCATCACAGCTCTGACAAAGTCCTTCATCTGGTTAAAGTCACTTTCATGAATGCTACCAGAGCCGTCAATTAGGAAGACAATGTCCATCTCTTGATTTGGACACTCTGCAGAGAGGGAAGAGGAATCAAAGATGCTTGTGCAAGCCCCTTAATCTCCTGGGGCCCAGAATCCCTTCCCACTCAACAGAGTCAGGAGGCTGGGCATGGCATTCCCACCCAGTTTCCAACCCCTCCTCCGAAAAGACCCCAATCTGTTACTCCAGTTTCTTCTCCCCTCAATGGAGCCCCTGTTGCTCCCCTCCTTCCACATGACCTGGAAAAGAGGAGGTAGAGAGGACAGAGCTCCACATTCATTCAGTCAGTAAACACATGCTCTAGGGATGTCATTAGAGAACATGGGGAGGCAGTTTATCAAAGTGGTTCAAAGTACACATTCTGGAGCCAGGGCACCTGCCTGGCCCTGCATCCCTGCTCTCCTGCTTATTAGTAGGTGATTCAGGCAAATTGGTTCATCTCTCTGGGCTTCCAATTTTCCTGTCTGTAAATAGTGCCTATCACATGTGATAACTGCAAGAATAAAACTAATTACTATGTATATAAAGTGCTTAAGATAGGGTCTGGCCCTCTGTAAGTGTTGCTGTTATTACTGTCATCACTGTGTGCTGGGCATTTTCAAGGCCTGTTGGATACACTTATGGTGGATCCTGCTGTGTGCCACCCAGGCCCACCCCACTTCAAGACTGAAGCACTCCTTTCTAGCTACGGGGCTGCCAATTCTCTCAGCTGAGGTCCTTCCCAGGAATCACCTGAGCAGAAGGGAATGGCCTTGCCTGGGATTACACCTTCCTACACTGGGGGCAACCCACATCCATGCTCTCCAGGAGTGGGCTAAGGCCTCTGTTAGAATTGCATCGCTCTCCATCCTGTCTCAACCCAGTCCTTTCACAGGTATTGCTCCAGAACATTCCCAAATGAAACTTAGGAGTCTATTTCTGGGGAAATCTGACCTTGAGATCCTAGTTTAAAAGGCATCATCTATGCTCTAGTGGAGTTCACACTATAACGGGAAAGACATGCCACACGCAGAGAAACAAATAAGACATCTTAGATTGCCCTGCACTCATGCAGGGGTTCATGTCCTGTGTGTAAGACCCAGTTGGTGCCTCCACCAACACCCACATCCTGTGTCTCTATTGGGGTGTTAGAAGAGTGGGCTATCACAGCACTGAGGTGTGAAGCCTGTACCACAGAGCAGCAGTAACTGCCTCCTGCCCTCTACTGTAAAACAGTCTTTTCTTCTCTCCCCGCCCTGCCCCTACCCCACCTGCTCCACTGCCTGTTGCTTTAAGGATGCTGAAGAGAAGTGGAAGATCACTTCCCTTCCTGCTTCTTTGATGACTAGAAAATCTAATCATCCACACAGCAAACTGAGAATCCCTCAGGTGACCCCCTCCTTCACCCATACCTTGCAATCATCACCCTTGTCCTTTATCAAACCAGCAAGCTTTAATCACAATATCTCTCCTGTTTCCTGCTCCTCCTACTGTATCCACAGGGCTTCCAACAGCTGGTTGGATGGAGCTGAGCACCTTTTGAAAAAGGTCTAAGGCAGTCAGCAATGTTGGCTCAAGCTCTGAGCTCTGCCTCTTTCTACTGGTGGGAACTCATCTCTCTGAATCTGTGTTTTTACCTGTTAAATGGGAATCATCCAGTCTACCACCCAGGGATCTTGTAAGGATGTAATAAGATGATGTCTATCAGGCACCATGGACTTCCTGGTACTCTGGTGGTACTCAGTGGACCTCAGTGAACCTTTCCATCTCTACCCAAACCTGCCTTGCTGTGCCAGGTTTCTGATCCTATGTTCATTTTCATTAGGTATCTCACACTAGGAGTTCCAGAAACATCTGTGAAAAGACAGCTATTTCCTCATGTTTAAATGCCACATGACCTATCCCTGGCTTCACAGACATCTCAGACTGGACATGGTCCCCCTCCCCAAGGCCCCTGGACAACCCTCTTCCATTCTGACTCCTGTATAGATTTTTTTTTCTCACAATTTGGTTTCAGTATATTTCTTCTGTTGCTTAATTTTTGGTGAAAAGCCCACCACAAAACCATGCCTGGCTTTGTGTCTTCTCTAATCTAAAGCATTGTTCTCAGTCAGCATCCTGAGTAGCCGCTGGAATTCCTAATTGTATCACAGATGAGGAAGTTTATCTGTATCCTCCTCTTAGTCCTAAGAGTCCTCAGCTTGAAGATGATCATAAGAGCTATTACATATTTATTATGTGCCAGGCAGGGATCTAGGTACCTTATATACATTAAATCCTTTAATCTTTATAATCAACATGATTATTATATTTTAATATTTATTTATTTATTTATTTATGTGGTGCTGAGGATTGAACCCAGTGCCTCATGCATGCTAGGCAAGTGCTCTACCACTGAGCCATGACCTTATCCCTACAATCGCCATGATTATTAAGCATCATTTTACCAGTGAGGAAACTGAAGCAAAGAAATTAAACTGTTGCACATGGACGTGGAAAATTTAAACTTGGTTACCACCATTATGCAGACTGACTCTCAGAGAGATGCTGCTGTCATGGCCAAGGTCCCACTCTGTGGAAGACATTGACACTGATAAAATTGTCCATCACACTTCTCAAAACTCTGACATTTGCTCCCCTTACAGGGGAAGAGTTCCTTTGGAGAATCCTGGCAGTACAGCAGGGAACCATCCAGAACTGCCTCTTCATGGATTTCTCATCCTTACTGCATGTTTTTACCATCTAAGGCCTTTTATCTGAAATCCAAGAAGTGTCCATTCACCTGTCGGCAACTGTAAGACCCTCAGACCTCCCACAGTCAATGCATGGGCTTCTCTCCCTTCATTAGACCTTTTCCCCCTCTACCAGCTGAGGCCTCCCACCGTCTTGGACCTGCTGAGCCTCTGCTTAGCCACACACAGTCCTCCAGGAGAGGAACATGGGCACAGAGGGCTAAGAAGGCTTCATGCTCCACCCACTCCTCAATGCCAGCATGTCTTCAGAGAATCCCTGTCTCCAAGAGACCTACCTGGCAGGGCAACTGGGACTGTCCGGATGATCTGCATATGGGAGCCCAAAAGGAGGCAGGAGCCTTTTGCATACATGTTCTCCCCACAAGCTCTGTGCACAGTTGGGCCACAGGCCTGGAGATAGAGACCTGTGAGTAGCAGGCCTCCAGTCCCCCTCCTTCTCCCCTCCTCTCTGCCCCAGCCTCCCCCAGCCCCTGCTTCTCCCTTCGTAACCCTCCTGTGACCCAGAGCAACTCACCAGCAGCCAGGAGCCATTACTGGAGGCTGCCAGGGAGAGGCCCAAGGACATGTTCACAGCCTCTGGTGCGACTGAGAGGACAGATACACATGGTTACACTCAACAGCATACCTTCATTTAGGGGGAGAGCCTGGGCTGGAAGCTGCTGAGGGGGGATGCTTGGGCCTAGGAGAGTGGAGGGTCCCGATATCAGGGTCATCACTCACTGTGTAATGAGATGGGTTGGCATGTGCCGTTGACAAACGTACAGTCGTATAACTGTCCTGTTTGGTTAACCGCCACCACCTCCAGGGGGGCTCCTACCACAAGCCTAGAGGTATAACCATAAAAGAGTAGAAGGAGGTGTGAGAATGGCAGATTGGAAGCAAGGAAATATATTGCAAAGAGGAAGTGAGACTTTGTGAGGGAAGTTCTTGGTATTTGCTTCTTGAGCGGCAGTTCAAAAATCAGGGCCTGAGTTTAACTACAAATGCTAAGGACCATGCTGGGGTTTTTGTTTGATTTTCAGTATGCACACATAAAAATATTTATGTATTTTGGATATATAAATGTTTTGGACTTTTACAACATTTACCTACCTGCCCCCCACCTGCCCCTTGAAAAACTATCTGAAAATAAAACTGACATTTCCCAAATACTGGTAAGTACATTGTGTTCCTGAGATGCTATCATTTTGAACCACCCCCAAAATAATCACCTCAAGTTAAATGGAACAATTTCATGAAGCCACACGTTTTAAAAAAAAAAAGTTGATTTTTCAAACAATTGAACTAATTTAAACACAATGTAAACAATTTAGATTGGGTGCACAATTTATAGGAGCTATATCAGAATCCATATCCACATCTATTATCATATTCATGCAAATATTTTATTTGCAAAATTCCCTAAGAAAATTTTTTTAAATTTTGGAAACATCACTACCAACAACTTCCCCACCCAGAGGAGAAAACTAGACAAAATACTGGGGTATTTTAATTAGCTGAGCAAGGCTTAGTTAAATGGACAGTTTTAGGGTTCCTTTAGGAGAGCTGTTTCTTCACAGAAAGCCACAATTCCTTTGCATCATGACTCATTGAATATCTAAAACTTTTCAGATGAAAACCTAACAGATGGCCAGAGGAGTAGCAGCTTTGGATCCGAAGCTGCTGGCATAAATGCAGAACAGGCATTAGTCTAAACTGTCAACCTGCAAGTATTTTCTTTATCCAACCCATTCCTTACAGGTGCACTCAATTTTTTAAATATTTGGATTATAATTCAACAGAAGCCAGGAAGAACAATAACTTTGTAGTAATTAGAATATCACCAACTATTTAATGTTTATTGATATTGTTTGGTAAATAATAATATTGGTAATTAATATTGGTAAATAATAATCAGTGTTGTAATCCCTTTTTATTAATAGGGTCTGAAAACAATTTAATGGTGATGAAAGCTGGAGCAGTGATTACATTTGTTGAGTGGTTAGGAGGGGCAGGACCGGGGGAAGGCCAGATCTAAGTGGTAATTACCCAAGTATATACAAGCATAAAAATATCATTGAGTTGGGGCCAGGCATGGTGGAGCATGCCGGTAATCCCAGTGGCTCGGGAGGCTAAGGCAGGAGAATCACAAGTTCAAAGCCTGCCTCAGCAACCGCAAGGTACTAAGCAACTCAGTTAGACCCTGTCTCTAAATAAAATACAAAATGGGGCTGGGGATGTAGTTTAGTGGTCAAGTACCCCTGAGTTCAATCCCCAGTATCTCCCCCCCAAAAATATCATTGAATTGGAACCTTCAGATTTATGGACTTTGGTGTATGCATCACATCTCTAAGATAGATAGATATCTAGATAAATAAAATCCTTGTACCTAGCACCTGAAACTTGCTTCTATCTCCCCAGCCTTGTGGCTGGGTGAGGAAGCGGGAGGGATGTTCATTTAGAACCCAGTGACCTCTGAAACTCAATCAAAAACCTGTCCTCTCTGGCTCTCAGCCAACACCACCTCCTCTGTGGGCCTCCTGGAATTCCCCTCCTGGGTTTGCTCTCTCCCCTCTTGGCCTTCCCATGCTTTTGTCACACCTGCATCACATGGTGACTTGAACTCCTTGGGTCCCCATCTTTGGAACAAGAGAATGGAAACTCCTGGGGGGCAGGGATAGTACATAATTTATGGGTCCCAATGCAAGATGAAAATGTGGAGCCTCTTGGGGTTGAGAAGAGCTTTGTCCATTTTTCTGTTTCTCTCCCCCCCACACCCTTTTCTTCCTCCCTCCCTCTCTGGTACACTCTATTTTTTATTTAGTGTCACACTCCCTCAAGCTCCAGGATATTTACCAGGCAAAGGCACCCAATTCTGACCTTGTCCAGCTCGTGCCAGGGGAGGAGGGCACCAGCAGTCACTGGACAGGGGTAAGGGAGCAGGCAGCTGAAATTCCTTCCAAGGAGGTGGTGGAAGGTGGGCTGCTCATAAGGTGAGGACCCTAAACCCCTAACACATCTCCACCCTCCCATCAGACTTTACTTAGAAAATATATATCTACAAAAATAAAGTCATTAAGAATTTCAAGAGCCTGAGAGCAGATCATCAAACTCCCAGTTTAATGAGTATGGGCATTGTGCAACTACACAGTTTGCCCGCCAAGAAGCTGCCCTATCTGGACAGCAGGTTCAAGGCTTTCCTCTCAAGGATGGATCTTTCCTAAGGTTTTGTGGCCCTTCCTGGGATTGTGATAATACATATGGTGGTGTCAGAGGCCTCAGAAGAGACATGGGAAGACTCCTCACCCAGGCCACCCTTCCTCCAGGACAACTCTTAGGATGCCACGGGCAGCCATCTTCCTACAGGACCCAATGGAATGGCAGTGGGGAAGTGAGCAGGGCTTACCGAGATCCACCAAACTGCACCACGGTCTGCCCAAAGCCAGTTGCATTCTCGCTGAAGACTGTGGGCTTCTCCACATACAAGTTGAATCCATGATAAGAAGCCAGGACTGAGGAATACACGGAGTAGGGACTTGGAGGTGATTCTAAAAGCCTCATCCTCTCTGTCTTCCTGAACTCTTGATATCCCACCCCACTCCAACTTGGTTCTCACCTGCCCAGGAGGACCAAGCCACTCCTTCTACTGTGCCTACTGATTTGCCATCTGCGTGGTTCCCAACCCTCTCCCTACCTCAAAAATGATCAAACCTCGAAGCAAAGGACAACAATCTGAGGAAATACTCCCTCAAAGTTACTTCAAAGGGTATCCAGGATCTGAAATTGCCAATTGCTTCCTGGTATGTTAGATCACGAATGTCCCTTAAAAATAAGGTGCCCATAAAATTTATTGTCTAAAATGGGACCTTCTGAGAGTAAAAGGGACACCATTAACAATGTGACAGGGACTTCTCCAAGGCATATGGGCACCCTCCATAAAGACTATCCTGTTCTATCTTCTCATTACACAGAGACCCCAAGAACCAGATGGGGAACAGACTTAGAAGTTTGTGATTAATTATTTGTAATTGTGTGTTTCTCGTGTCCCCTCTCTCAGTGCCACATGAGGAAAAGATTTTTTTTCTTGTTTTTCAGTGTTTGGCATAGTGCCTTTCACAGCTGTCCAATTCCTATTTGTTCACTGATTCTATAGCACAAGTCACTGGCATAGCCAGGATCCCAACCTGCTCTCCCAATCCTCAACTGGTCACAATCCCTTTGCTGGTGGCTAAGCTCCAAAGCATCAGGAGGTGACCCCTAGATCAATAGGTTTTTTCTTACTCCCAAGCAGCCATCTTTCTTTCCCATTTTTCTAGAATTTCCATTTGTCTCTGGATTGAGGAGTCAACTCCAATCCCAAGAATAGGGGAATTCTTAGAGGGATAAGTGTCTGGCGAGGTGGTGACAGAGAGATACCTGAACGCTGGGATTCTGGGAAGAGACCAAATGTTTAGGGAGTCAGGACACTACTGTGGCCACAGGCAAAGAAGCCTCACATTCCATACCTTCCTTCCTCAGTTATTCTGTTTCTGAGCCTGAAAGAAGTTCTTAATATGTAACAAGTGGGAAGATATCAAGAGGCACAGAGTCGAGTGCCTCATGGATTAGGCAGGTAACTTCAGTAAGTGAAGTGGGGTAGAAGTGAGCACAAGGGAATAATGATCCTTTAGAGCTTGTGCCTTTTCTAAGGGGGGGCAGCCATTACCAGGATCTAGTTACAAGAACTGCCAGGCCTTTCAATTTCTAAAGAGAAGATGGAAATCTTGAGTTTTTGTGTGAGATCTCATTTTTAAATGACATATGAATATGGTCCTGACAGTTGTCAAATTGCGTACTATATTCTCAACAGGATAGCATGTCTGAAATCAGGACTTGGGGGAAAATCAGGCCCAGAGAGATAGTATCCTGACCACCTCCCTGGTGGTTTCTATGGCCTTTCTCTCCCAGAACTATGCTAGGGCAGACTTCTCTTCCTTACACACCACCCACACCAGGGCCTCCACAAATGGGGAGCAGAAAGGCCTTGGAAAATACGGCTAACTGGAGAGATGTTCATTCTCCACTGAGCATAACTCATAAGCCCATTTCCCCTCACCTTCATTCAGGTCATATTTCTCCAAATTCCAAGCAATCTCTCCTCCCAACACCATTCCCTTCGCAACTCATGTGAACTGTAAGAACTGTACGCCAGCCCCCAACCCGTCCTACAGGAGACACATACAGCTCCACAGAGTTTCTCCCCAGTCCTGAAAGCCCCAAACTCACCACTCAGGAGAAGCAAAACTCTGAAAACCATCACTGAACAGCACATTGACTGGGAAGTGAAGTGCAGGACAACAGAGCACTGAAGGGGTTCAGCCTCCTGGGGGGTTGTTAAAATAATGACTCAGGCCCTCAAAGGGGTGGGAGGAGGAGCAAGTGGGGAAGAGGATCTTGGTTAATCATAGAACAGACCTGGGGCAGAGGCCAAAGACAATCTGGGAAAAAAAAATGCCTCTTACTCTCCCCACCACCACCACCTACAGGGCTCTGACTTCTTTCTTTCAGAAGACCACCCTCCCCTAGCTCTCTGGGGCTTCCTGGGGCTGCACATAAGTAGAAGGGAAGGAAGCTGGATAGGTAGCAGTAGAGGCCCCAACACAGCGATGGGAGCATGAAGTGTGGGGTACCACCCCAGAGTGTCAAGGGCTTGGGGAGGTGGAGGTAGCCTCCCCTAGGTCAAGGTGTTGGTTAAAAAGCAGGCCCCCACAAGAGGAGGATGGATGACCAAAATGTTATATAACTTCATACAGTGGACTCAGCAGTAGTAGAAACAGACTAGAGAAGTAGGCAACCACATAAATGAACTCAGTTTCATCTTAAATGAAAGACAGAAGATTGCATAATGAACACCAGGCAAAAATTAATCTATGAAGAAGAGCTATTGACTCTGTTGGGATAGGGACTATTTAACATTTCTTAAACTTATCATTCAACACTTCATATTTTAATATTTGCTTAATTGGGGAGGAGCTTGACAAGTAGATAAATGAGTGGTTGTTATTTATTCTGTATGATTTTATGCCTACTCAAAATATTCTGCAATTAAGCATAAATAAGTAAATGTTTCTCAAAAACATGAAAAAAGCATCCTATGTAGGAAAGCCCAGGAACATATGACCCAGAAAATAATACCAAGAATTGATAAATGGGATGGTGTCAAACTTAAAAACTTTTGCACAGCAAAGGAAACAACAGTGCAAAGAGAGAACCTAAGGAATGAGAGAAAATCTTTGACAGCTACTCTTGTGACAGAGGATTACTAGCTAGAATATGTAAAAAACTCAAAAAACTCAACACCAAAAAAAAAATTCATTCAATAAATGGGCAAATGAACTAAACAGATACTTCTCAAAAGAATAAGTATAAATAGCCAATAATTATATGGAAAAAAATGTTCAACATCTCAACCCATCAGAAAAATCAAAACTCCAGTTAGAAATGAGAATCATGAGGCTGGGGTTGTGGCTCAGCAGTAAAGTGCTCACCTAGCATATGCGAGGCACTAGGTTCGATCCTCAGCACCACATAAAAATAAATAAATAAAATAAAGGTATTGAGTCCAACTACAACTAAAAAAATATTTTTTAAAAAATGTGAATCACTCCAGTTAGAATGGCAATCATCAAGAAGACAACAGTTAATGCTGGTGAGGCTATGGGGGGAAAGAAACACTAATATACTGTTGGTAGGATGATAAATTGTTTCAGCCACTGTGGAGACCAGTGGAGGCTCCTCAAAAGATCAGACACAGAAACCACCTTATGACCATGATACCATTCCTCAGTATTTAACCACAGAATTAAGGTCAGCATACATGCACACACAGGTTTATAATGGCACAATTCATAATAGCCAAGTCTGGAAAGTGCCTAAGTGTTTTTAAACTGATAAATGGGTAGAGAAAATGTGGTATATATACAAACTAGAGCTTTATTCAACCACAAAGAGGAACAAAATTATGTCATTTGCATGAAAATGGTTGAAAGAGGAGAGTACCATATTAAGAAAAATAAGCCAGATTCAGGTCAAGAGTCATATGTTTTCTCACATATGTGGAAACTAGAGATCTTGTGAAAATAGAAAGGAGACCAGTCCAGCAAAGTAAGGGGACCAGAGGAAGGGAGAAGGGGTAGGCAAGTGGAGGTAATGGGGATTGAAATTGATCAAACTATATTATGTGCATGCACAAATATGCCGTCTTGAAAAACAATGCACCAACTTGGAAAAAAAAAAAGCTCAGAAACACACTAAAGATTAAAATATGACAGACCCTGGGTACAATCCCCAGCACAAAAGATTTATTAATTTATTTGTTTATACATAGACACACGCGCTCGAGCACACACGACAGAATCTCCACCTATGGCATAAATTATTTTGTGTTATAAGTGACAGTTATTTAAAACATTTAAAACGTAGATTTTCAAGAATAAACAATATAAAACTTTTCTAAACAAAAAAAAATTACTTAAATTTACTCAAGCTAATGCTTAATGGACAGAAAAAAAATAATTCTGACATATGGACAGTGCCCTTGGAGGACACTAGGCCAAGGACGGTGATTACTGACTTTGAGGCTGATTTACTTACTTCCTTGCAAAGGCTGTCAAGCCAGGTTGAAAGGCAGCTTTCTCCCTCTCGTACTGAGCGACCTGCAGCACCTTGTCGTCTGTTCAGTGAGTTTGTGAACTTCTCTCTGTATTTGGAACCACAAAATAACTTTTTTGATGATTCTGTTTAATGCAAAAATTTAAAGGTCTTTTCGTTTCCTCCATTTTCTTCACATCTTATCTTTCAGACACAATCTTGAATGGTATCACGTTTCATACATAATCATTAATTTTGGACTTCCTTTCACAAATTGTGCTTGAGGCCAAAGTTTTGCTGATTTCAACAATTGCTAAAGCTTCCAACTTTGCCTCAATTTTATTATCACTTGTCTCAGCAAAAGTTATTTGTTTTCCCACTCATTTTTAGAGAACAATAAGGGCAGAATGCAATAAGATTCAAACTTATAAACACCATGCACTGCCATGAAGACATCTTCCTTCCAGGCCCAGTTTCAGAGCTGCCAAGGCTCCCAAAGCTGTGGTGATGTTTCCCAAGCTCAGGGCATCCTCAGAGGATTTCCCAGGATCTCTATAACTACAAGAACCACCAATTGTCAATAACTTTTTAAAAGTTATTTCTAAAAAATAATCAAACCACATATCTCATAATCTTAAATCAGTGTGAGGAAGTATATTTGTTTTTCATAACTTTTTACCAGAATGACCCAGGCCTGCCCCAGTAATGGAGAGCCTGAGTTACAGGTCCTCACAGCTTAAGTGACACTTTCAGTGCTTTGTTTTGCTTCTTTCCTCTTGTCTTTTTGTTTGTTCTTGTTTGTTTTTTAATTGACACATAGTAATTATACATATTGCCAGATGGGATGATGCACACCTGTAACCACAGTGGCACGGGAGACTGAGGCAGGAGGATTATTAGTTCAAAGCCAGCCTCAGCAACTTAGTGAATCCCTAAGTAATTTAGTAAGACTTTTCTCTAAATAAAATACAAAAAAAGGGCTGGGGATGTGGCTCAGTGATTAAATGCTCTTGGGTTCAATCGTTGGCACCAAAATACACACACACACACACATTTATGGGGTACAGTCCAATAGCTTGTACAGGTTTAAAATATGTAAATCAGGGAAATTAGCATTTCCATCCCATCAGATACTGTTCATTTCTATGTGTTGGGAACCTATGGAGTCTTCTTTCAGGCTATAGTTACCCTATTCTGCCATAGGACACCAGAATTAATTCCTTCTGTCTAACTAACTGTGTTTTGGTACTTCTCTAATTCCTCTCTATCCCATTTTACCCCTTCCTTTCTCCATTTCTAATGACCACTACTTTTTATTTGTTATTTTTAGTTATACATGACAGTAGAATATATTTTGGCATATTATACATCCATTGAGTATAACTTATTCTAATTAGGATCCTATTCTTTTAAAAAATTTCCTTTTATTTGTTATAATATATTCATACATTCACACAATAAAATAGTATAATTTGATCAATTTAATTCCCAAGTCCCTCCCCTTTCCCTCTCCTCCCTCTCCCTGTTCCCCTTCTTCTATTCTACTGGTCTTCCTTCTTTTTTTTTTGTTCCAATCAGTCACACATGGCAGCAGAATGCATTTCTACATGTTGTATGCAAATAGAGCACAACTTCCCATTCTTCTGGCTGTCCACAGTGAAGAGTCACACCAATAGTGCAATCATACATGTACATAGGGTAACAATGGCTGTCTCACTCCACCATCCTACCCATGCCTACCACCCCACCCCTCCACTCACTCCCCTCTACACAATCCAAAGTTTCTTCATTCCTCCCCACCCTCCCCCTACGCTGCTCCACTATGGATCCGCATCCACTTATCAGAGAAAACATTTGGCCTTTGGTTTTTGGGGATTGGCTATTTCACTTACATGAAATTAATATTTCATGATATTCTCCAGTTCCATCCATTTACCATCAAATGCCATAATTTCATTCTTCTTTATAACTGAGTAATATTTCATTGTATATATATATATATATATATATATATATATATATATATATATATATATATATATATATATAAATATATATATATATATATATATATATATATATATATATATAAAATATATATATATATATTACATTTTCTTTATCATTCATCTGTTGAAGGACACTGAGATTGGTTCCATAGCAGAAGAAATACAAATGGTTAAAAAATATATGAAACAATATTCAACATCTCTAACAATTAAAGAAGTCAAATTAAAACTACACTGAAATTCCATCTCCCTCCAGTCAGAATGGCAATTATAAAGAATACAAGTAACAATAAATGTTGGCAAGGATGTGGGGAGAAAGGTATTCTCATACATTGCTGTTGGGACTGCAAACTGATACAACCACTATGGAAAGCAGTATTAATATTCCTTAGAAAACTTGGAATGAAACTACCATTTGATCCAGTTATCCCACTCCTTGGTCTATACCCAAAGGACTTAAAGTCAGCATACTACCATGACATGGTCACTTCAATGTTTATTGCAGCTCAATTCACAATAATGACCACTTATATTTTTACATGATCAATTATTTTTAGCTTCCATAAATGAATGAGAGTGCAGTATTTGTCTTTCTATGCCCAGCTTATTATTTTTAATCTGATGTCCACTTCCATCCACATTGTGACAAATGACAGGATTTCATTTTTATGACCAAATAAACATTCCATTGTGTATATAAAGCACACTTTCTATTTTAATTCCTTTGTCAATGGATACTTTAGA